TTCTTGATGAATACAAGTTAATATATTATCAAAAGTGTATTGATCAATCTCTATGACTCTTTAGATTGATAAACATAGTCCTGAGAAGACTGTTATACCCTTATCAATCAAGAATAAATCATATTTTCACAACCACTTCATGAAAAGAGGTCAAAGCTATTCAAACTTTATGAGCAACAGTCTAGTTAGGTTGCCCTGATCATTCACAGCACTTCTGCCTCTAAAGGAACTTAAAATGATAATAATAATAATGAAAATAAACACATGTCTTAAGAACTCAATTCTGATTGGTTGAAATTTACATAACGCCTATTACTTTGTATCTATTATCTTTATTATCATTTCTTGTTCAGATTGCTTCCAAACACAGTTCTTTATTCAACAGACCTCTCCGCATTAAAACATAATTATCTAACACCTCATTTCTGTTAGGTCTTGCTGAAGATTTTTCCACTGTTCTTATACTAAGCCACGTGCATCTTTATTTTGATAATACATTTCTGAAATAATTTAAGGCCAATTTCCTGTTTTGCATGCATCCCTCTCTCTCTCTCTCTCTCTCTCTCTCTCTCTCTCTCTCTTCATCTCCACTCTCTCTCTCTCCACCCCCTCTCTTTCCTTCTCTCTCTCTCTCTCTCTCTCTCTCTCTCTCTCTCTCTCTCTCTCTCTCTCTCTATCTTTCATTATCTCTACCCCCGCCACCCCATCTCTCTCTGTATTATGTGTGTTCTCTTTTCCCTCTATTTCTTTAGTTTTCTTTCTCCTCTAAACGCCTCCTCCATTTCTGTATAATAATGTAGTTCAGTTTATTTACACAATAAAAATTGTATGATAGAAATCGAAACTCCAATTAAAAAAGATTGTTGCTCTTATTGCATTGCTTAGATTATTATCAAGACAAACAACAGACTCCGATCTATAAAGAGCAAAATAAATGTGCAATTTTTCCTGTTTATACAATAATGTTTAATTACTTTCTACTCGCCTGATTAATACCGGCTATTGTGTGTAACATGTGAAACTGTATAAGCTGTTTTACGGAATTGAAGAGTTATATCTTTAGTCGTCCTTATCTTCTCATGAACATAAGGAGTTTCATACATTACTTTTTATTCGGTTGTAAACAACATTAGGTGTTATAGGAGAGCATCCTTGTCATTTAATAACGCCTTAAGACGATTAAATATTGCATCATTCCGAAATACATAGTCATAAAGTCACATTCTCAATTTGTTGATTGATTTCGATTAGCTGAACATGTTGAAAGTTTGAAAGAAAAGGGATAAGGATTACCAAGAGAAATAAATGTTTACAATGAGAAGTAATATAATTCCATTCACAATTCGACAAGAATGACCCTTTAAAAATAAAAACTACCCATTCCATTTTGATAATCGTGCACCCATTCACATTTTGACTTCATTTTCAACAAACATTTCATAAGTTAAAACAGTTTTTAGTATCTTCGACATCTTTCTCGATACTTGTTGACATTCAAAGTACATGTGTAGCTTCACAACAATGTTTTTCTTTCATGTTTGCATATTCATCCGAGATCATTATAAGTATTATTTTATTAACTTTATTAGGCTTGGTTTGTTTTTAAAGAATCTCTTTGTATCTTGACGGCATAACCCCAAAATGAATTTTCAAATTATCTCCAACGCTATCAGTAGGTGAAATTAGATATAGATGACAAAATGGTCTCTCGCTATCCTAATTTCACCAAGGTACATTCAACCACATTGAGAGCCCTATGCGAAGCGTTCCTATAGTGTTCTCGTAGAAGAAAACTGGTTTTAATCCAGAGAATATATTATTGTTTGCTTCAGGGGTCAATGCACTTTCTTTCAATCTTCGATGCAAGCAAATAGTGCGCTTGAAATCACTTGAATAGATTCCGAACAAAACAGTATTTTCTGATTCAGCTTGGGTTTTATAGTTTTTCTTTGAGTCTCCCACGCATGTTGATTTGCACTGATACAACCTTCACGGTTAACTGGTCTCGACCAAGCTTATATTATTCACAAATCTTGGGTATAATCGAGTAGTAATAGTAAACACAAATAATAAAGGGATACATTAATCTAATGCAAATTATTATGCATCATTTTGTGTTGTTAGCATGACTACATATTTGTAGCTGCAGTCAATTATCGCGGCCGAACGTCAACTACACAAAGATTGCAGTACATGTATCCCACCCTCTACCAACGTTTTAGCAGAAGTAAATACTCATTAAATTACACATTGTTAAAATATATCGTTAGCTATGTTAAAAATATCATAGGCCTAGCTATTTTATCGCTGGTACTATTCAGAAACTGACCTCGGACTAAAGTAGACGTTTATTGAAAATCGAGACACTGACTAATATCAAACGAAACTCGTCTAGATACAATATGTAAGTGTAATAATAATAACAGTTGCGAATCGAGGGTGGTATAAAATGGCAGTATTACCAAGAATATTTTCGAAAATTCCCTTCGTTGTGATCATTTGGTATTTTCAACGCATACTCTATTACTGAGAAGTTCCTAGGAGGCTATGCTTTCATTCTGTATATATTTAAATACATCAACCAGAGATTGCCAGACAAAGAGACAGACGGCCAGACAGACGTAAATACATCAGGAAGGGTTGACAATTTTATGACAACCCTATGATAATATAGGTAAGTTAAGTGGATTCTAGTGACACGAGACTAAAACGTACACCGCGATTGACACAATATTAAGTTCGATAATTTTATTGAACCAGATTCGAGTACTTGATACACATGCAGTCTCGATTGGAAGACAGACACACAGTTTACTTATGAATTTCATCGTCTGGGAATAGAGTGTATTGAGCCATACGGTCTATTGTAGGGGAATTCTGAAAACGAAAATGAACTTTGAATCTTGGTATACTACCAACGTACGTGATGTAATTTGCCTTTGATAGTAAACAATCATGACGATAGCAGCAATATTAGTAAGCCAGAGAGGCAGAGAGAGAGAGAGAGAGAGAGAGAGAGATAGAGATAGAGAGAGAGAGAGAGAGATAGAGAGAGAGAGAGAGAGATAGAGAGAGAGGGAAAGAGAGATAGAGATAGAGAGAGAGAGAGAGAGAGAGAAAGGCAGAGAGAGAGACAGGCAGACTGACAGAATATTACATACAAATAACCATCAATATAAACATCATTCTGTTTAACGTCGCTTTCCTACAGCTTTGTTCAAATTAAATCATGCACAAGCTTCTATATCTTTCTCTGACACATATTGATATAGGCCGTACAATAATGAACATGTATATTTGAAGTTAATGGCCTTGTTTTCGTCATTCATTCATCTGGACCCTGTTTCATAAAACTTGTTATCAATGATAAGTTACAATGTCTGTTATAAGCTACTGAAATCGTGGCATTTGATTGGCTGAGAGCAAATTTGTCATAGAAATTTAGCATTTGTTATTGATAACAAGTTTAATGCAACAGGGCCCCGAACTCAACCGAGCATGTATCATGATTTTTGTATTCCATTTTTTTACCCACCTGCGGTTGCACGCCTTGAACCTTCCTGACAGGTGGCACCAATAACAACGTGGAATTTGATAGCTCTATGAAACGTGTACGCACAATGTAACTACTCTACTACATGTATTACACTCTTCTACTACTTTACTATTGCACCGTTTTAATCTACTATTATACTATTCTACTCATCGTCTAAACTATTCGACTATTCTAATATTAAGACGATAGCAACTCGGTAGCATACTACATATACTTTTGAAAAATCAACCATTCTTTAGTATTGTGCGTCACCTATCGGAATGTGTGAACATGACAATGACGTATTCCAAACATTTTTTTTCTATTGGACATACAATACGATTGAAATCGCCCTTGAGTTGATTTTTCGGGAATACAAACGAGCGTGTTTATTGTACTATTTGTTATTAGATTCGATTTGTTATTATATATTTCATTTATGTTAAAGTAATGTAACTCCAATATCTTGTTTAAAATTTTATGACAAATTATGTATACAGTGTATGTTGTCATTCTGATATTATTTCTTGTGCATATTGAATGAACAATGAAATAACTTTAAAAATATATCTACTGTTCTAATATGCCGCTGCTCTACTATTCTACTGATGACACTTAATTTACTATTTCAATATTCTATACTACAGTTCTATTTTTGTACTAAAATACCCGCAACTATACCGGGCCTTATGATACCAAACCTGCTTCTTTGAGTATTTTTTTTTACGAGAAATTGCAGTATTAATTACCATACAAGGTGGGAGGGGGAGGGAGTCTTGGTGAAATACAGCCTCCCCCACCCCCACCACCACCAGACAGCGAAAAATCTTAGAGGTTAATAATAAACGGGCACCAGCACCATTATTCAGGCAGCGATGTGATCCATTAATCTGATATATCATAATTTTAACTGTGAGATTATCGTCTCTGTTACGAGTTATTGATTATTTTTGCTCGCTGTCTTCGCTATCTCGCACTTTTTAGGGACTGCAAAGACAATAATAATATAGGCAATGGATGACAACCGCCCCTCCCTCCCCCCCCCCCCCCCCTTGGCAGAATGCAATGTGCTTATAATACGCCAATGAGTATATCTCAACCTATGTTTCTGACTTGCTTGTGCATAAGATTTGTCTATGTGCACATCAGTCCTACATAATGTACGTTCTAATGTAAGGAAGACGATAGCAATAGTACAATAGTCCAGGCAAAATACACATGCTTCAACGAGCGAGATAATCGATATAAGCTGCTATAATACGCTCACAAATCTCACATTTCTTTTGGTACCATTCACCCGTGCACGAACGGTACATTACACGATCATAAACCGGTCTTGCGTGTATAATGTTATCTTACTGTTTACAGTAGAACGTTGATTATTGTAGCTAGATCTAGAAGAGTAAATAATATTAACAAGAGAGCAAACAAAGTGCAGAAACACACGTTTTAATAGTACACTTACCTGTCTCGATCTCCTGTAAGACTGGCCTGCTGTCTGTACTAGAAATCAGAAGTACTCCTCTGAGTTGTATCTTGTTGTCTGTTATTGAGGGACTAGACCTTCTTTGCCTCTAAAGAAGAACGGACAGAGTAATTTGCGAACTTGGCAAGGGGTCTCTAATCCTCGAACAGACGAATTCTGGTTTTCGTTCTATTTTTGTAAAGCTATGAGCCATCGATGCATAGCGCTTCGCAGCTTACCAACGCTGATGGCGCCATACTCCGTCTGTAGGGTAATTTTGTTGAGTTCGATGATCAAGATGGACGAATTGATGCCCCTCCCCTCTCTCTCTCTCCCCTTCCCATCTCTCTCTCTCTCTCTCTCTCTCTCTCTCTCTCTCTCTATCACTGTCTCTCTTTCTCTCTCTTTCTCTCTCTCTCTTTCTCTCTCTCACTACATCCCTTTCTCTCTCTGTAACTCTCTCTCTGAAACTCTATCTCTCTCTCACACACACATGCATGTGGGTGTGCATGTGCGTGTGTGTGTGCGTCTGTCTGTCTGACTGTCTTTGTTCAATGCACTGTTTTATTCCTCACCCAGTAGCTTGGCGCTAGTGAGATCTGGCAGTCTTGTAAAAAGTGTCTGATGTTCAGTCATGCATGCAGAGATTCAAATGAAAAATGGTACCTAAATGTACTAGGAGGATAACTCTATCAAGACATATCATGAAACCCATGATTAAATATTCATACTTCAAACATTACAACTTTTAAAAAGTGGGACATTTTTTCTGACTCACTCTGTATAGGACCGCGTTCCAGTCAATGCCCTTTTTTAATGACTGGTATTCTGACGTCATTGGTGTGCAAATATGTAATTTCATTTCAAACTGAGATACTCACAATATATTCAATTTAATTCAATTCAATTTATTTCAAACATAAATAAAAACACATATCACATAAAATATATAACATAATATGCTATCCATAATACATTGTATGTAGGAGTGCCCCATGGAAGAAGGCACTAAGGACAACAAATGAAAATACTGATATTTTTGTACACAACAAACGAAAGAATTGTCTACGAATACATCACAATCCATTGACCCAATTGCCAATTAGAGATTCGCATATAGATTTAGAAATATCATTTTTCAAACACTTATAACTGCGTTATTATTTGACCGATTTATTCAAACGTTTGCAATCATGAGTTTCTTATTTTTCTGCTTTCACACAAAATTAATAAACTTATAACAAAGAAGCGCCTATCATACCTATCTATAACGAATATAATCATGATATACATACAAGTTATGTACATAAAGTATACACAAACAGTTTGATAAGTATGAAGAAGAATAAACGTCGAATAAAGGAAACATAAAGGACGAACCCCTTTGTAATAAACGTTTGAATGAGAAGGATCTCATGCAAAACGTAATAATGTTCAGTTTTTATGAGGGATCCCCTTTATTCCCCGCTATTTGTCAAGGTGTGTTAGTTTAATTAAATGCAAAGAATGCATTCAAAGAATGCTATCAAAACGTCTTGAATCGTTTTCCGGCTGTTGCCCCCCCCCCTCCCCCTCCCCCCAAGGAATAAAATCGCTGGCTTTGCATGCAACAGGAGCTCATTGTTTTCATTATCTTAAACAAAATATTCAATTTAACACCTGTGATTCCTTTTAGATACTTTCAAATGTTGAATTCATTTAATTTGATGTGATTTGAGTTGATGTTAATAATTTCCATGTACATGTAAATCACTTTTCTGTTTACAATGCTGTCAATGTTTATTTTTTTTTTCATTAGATTTTTGTATTGATTTAATTTATTTACGAACAGAAAATAAGTACTATTCATTTCTTACAACGATATTTATATGTACAAGAAGAGAAAATATTGGTTGGTAAAATGGGCAGATAATAGCATATGTGTGCTAGGCGACCCTAAAGCCTTACAGCTAAACAATGTATTTTGTACAAGTAACCTTCAGAAAACAAAACAAAAAGAAAAACGTAGAAATTAATTTACTATTGCAATCAATACTATAAAAATATATAACTTTAACAATGTCTTACAATATAAAAACTGATAATACGAAATATAATTTTTGTACAAATACAGACTATTTGCATGGATTTTTTATTCATGATTTGTTCAACAAAATGTGTTGTAACAGAATCTGACATTATAGATAATCAAGTAACTAATCACAAGAGACAATTAAAATCGACCATGTGTCGTTCTAAATTTTGGCAGACGAAATTGTTCACCTTCTGTTTGCCCTGTGGAGTAACTATACTAGAATATCACAGTAATCTATAAAAAACCCAGAGGGCGCTGTCATGCTGCTGGCCCATACTTTTTTGTCTGCTCCTCTTAAACATACACTTTTGTTGATATTTATAACAACATTTTGGATTTTCAGTGAACCAACGTGTATGTCCTGTTGTATTGTCGTCAGTGATCATTGTGAGTAGTTTTATGTTTTGTTTTGCTGAGTGTTCTGACTGTTTTCAACTTTCTTGTTCATCATGCACCGGCGTTCATATATGAACGCCTATACCAAGTACACGTACTACGTACGCCGAGCTGGATCTCTAGCCATAGTTTGTGGACTACTTCTAGTATCTTTTGTGTTGACAACAACAATGCCCACAGAACACAAAGAGATACGCTACAGTGCAAGTGAATTGATGTTATTACGTAATAATGTGTCTACGCCTAGAGTTCAATTACCCCAAGAAGTGTTGATAAACATCGATCGATTAGGAATAGCACGTAATGATCAACACCGCCGCATGAGGGGTAGGAGAGGCGGTTCGCACATGAGAAGACACATTACTGTCGTTAAAACAATACCAAGGCGAAAACATCTTCTAATTCCTTCAAGGAAAGCCAATGTTATCCAGTTGGTTCGAAGTGATAGATACAAAGATCACTTTCCATCGATCCTCCTAACAAACATTAGATCGATGAATAATAAACTTGATGAACTTTATGCAACGGTGCAGGTCAATCAAGCTGACTTAGTAGCCGTGACTGAGACATGGTTTTCGGATAGTAACCCTGCGGAAGCCAACGAAATGAAAGGATACAACCTTCTTCACAAGGACCGAGCTGATAAACGTGGTGGAGGTGTAGCTCTGTATGCTAGAAATGATCTCCATGCAACACCTTTTGGAGCAGAGCTTACACTCAAACACCTTGAAATCCTCTGGGCTAAAGCAAGTCTTCGCAGTTACGTCCGGAACTCTGTAAACCTCTTCATTTGTGTTGTTTATGCACCACCTAACACACCTATGAAGGAAGAGATCATCGACCACGTCATATATATGAGCGACTATATTCGTAACTCTTTCTCTGATGCTGCGATTGTGATCCTTGGTGATTTCAATGATCTAGATACAACCCCGTTTGTGCGACATCTCAATGTCGATCAACTTGTCAAGCAGCCTACTAGACAAAACCGGATACTTGATATGATCTTCACTGACAGGGGAGATTTTTACAAGGAACCTCGGATAACGGCCCCCATCGGACGTTCAGATCACTCTACAGTTTTGTTGTTTCCAGAGATTTCTCGTCCTACACTTACGACCAGATTTAGCTATCGTCCCATGCGCGACTCAGGCATCAGATCCTTTGGTCGTTGGATCACTTCTTATGACTTCAGCTACCTGAATGATATGGAGTCATCCGACGATATGGTCCGATCTCTTCAGAATGTTCTAGATCAGGCATATCGTCAACATTTCCCTCTTGTTGTTCGTAAGCGTTCTGCGAATGACAAACAATGGATCAATGACAAGATAAAAACTGACATCCAGAAGAGACAACGAGCCTTTGAAAGGGGTGACTTGGTTTCTTTTAGGAGTATTCGCAATCAGATTCAGCGCGCAATTGTGAAACTGAAGTCTACGTTTTATCGCTCAAAGATCGCAGCGATGAAGAATTCAAATCCTGGCTCCTGGCACCGTCAAATACGCTCTCTTGCTGGTTTGAGTAAACGTACTTCCTACAGTTTTCCAGATGACTTCGGCATGAGCCATTCTCAGCAGGCAAATCATATCAACGACTTCTTTGCAGGTATATGCTCTGAACTACCTGCCCTTGATACCACGACTAGCCCGGCCTACCTACCTGCCAGAAGACCACCACCCGACATTCAACGCTTCAGGGTCTTTCAAGCGCTGAAGAAGCTAAATCCATCTAAAGCTATCCATCCTGAAGATACTCCTGTTCGACTGATCAGAGAATTCGCCCTAGAGATCTCTGCTCCGTTATCTGCCATCTTCAATTCCATTCTAAAGTCGGGTTCTTTCCCATCGCGTTGGAAATGTTCCGTTGTAACACCGGTACCTAAAACCTACCCAGTTAGAAGCTGTTCCGACTTGAGACCCATATCGATAACTCCGATATTTTCACGAGTGTTTGAAGGTTTCATTTCACTGTATCTGATGAGAGACCTCACACCCCATCTTGACAATCGTCAGTTTGGCAACATTAAAGGCAGTTCAACAACCCACTACTTGGTGAGCTTAGTGGATACAATCCTCAAGGGATTAGATAGGCCTGGCTACTGTGCGTCCCTTTGCACGATAGATTTTTCTAAAGCCTTCGATCGTGTCAACCACAATATAGTGATTCGCAAACTCTTCACGTATGGTGTCAATGAAGCAGTTCTTCAGACCGCGACCAGCTTCTTAACTGATCGCACCCAGGCTGTTAGAGTTGGCTCTTGTATCTCCGAGGAAAGGCATTTAACGTGCGGAGTTCCGCAGGGAACAAAACTAGGCCCGTTGATGTTCCTAGCTCTGGTGAATGATGCCGCACATGATATCGAGCATCATTGGAAATATGTTGACGACCTAAGCCTTCTCGAGATTCGCACGACATCGGCACCACCGAAACTACAGGACCATCTTAACGAATTAGAAAATTGGAGTAAAGACAATGACATGAAATTCAATACCACCAAGAGCAATGCCATGTCTGTCAACTTCACGAAACGTAACATCAACACTCCTTGTTTGCGTCTCAATGATGAGCCTCTGAAAACAACGGAATCCCAGAAAATACTGGGCGTGCACTTACAATCCAATCTCAAGTGGGACAAACAAGTTGGTGATATAGTATCAAGAGCGGGAAAGCGAGTATTTATGATAAGTCGTCTTCGAAAGGCATCCGTCCCAATTTGTGACCTAGTCAACATCTACTCATCCTACATACGTCCTCTTTTGGAGTATTCATCTCCCCTTTGGTCCCCAAGCATCACTGCAAATCAGTACAATGATATTGAGAAAATCCAGAAACGTGTCTGCCGCATCATTATGAAGGACCAGTATGTCTCTTACGACCATGCTCTAGAGCACCTCTCCTTCTGTCGTATGTCGGAGCGTCATGAACAACTACTGGATTCCTTTGCCCGTAGTCTGTTGAAATCTCCCCGGCACCGTGATCTTCTTCCTCCCTTACGTAGTGATATGTCCTCTCGTCGCCTACGCTCTTCACATCTTCTCAACACCCCCCTCTGTCGGACTACCCGGTATTATTCCTCAACGATACCCACTATTGTTAGACTGCTTAATTCACCTTGAATCTTTGAACTAAAACTAACAAAGATCGAGTCATCAAAACAATGTATTTGATTATTTTCCCACATGCATTTTCATCTACTGATTGCTACTTTCGTATCTCTTCTTCTATGTGCAATATCAATTAATAACAGAACTTGAGAATTTTTCAATCAATGTGAAGTAGCCTATTTACTTGTTAATATTTATCTTTGTCGATGTCAACATTTCATCTTTATCATTACTATATTTAATTCGTTCAAGGTTTCTTCACTTTATACTCTCTGATGTAATATCAATTTGCCAATTTCGCTGAATTCAGGACCATCACTTTGTTAATATTTATCTTTGTCGATGTCAACATTACATCTTTATAATCACTATATTTAATTCATTCAAGGTTTCTTCACTTTATACTCTCTGATGTAATATTAATTTGCCAATTTCGCTTAATTCAGGAACATCACCTTGCAACCAATATTGAAACTTAGCTTCAATATCTTATCTTTTATCGTATTTTATCTGTATAAACATCTAAATGTTATCCCACCTACGTATCACTGTTGCAATAAACCTGTAAATTGTTAATTATCAATTTTCTATCTCATGTAAAACGAATGACAATTTTATATTTATCAATGAAACTGTAAATCGTATTTAAATATACACAATATTTGATAAGTGTTCTATATATTTCAATGTGTTATCAATGCAATGTTATACCATGTACTTTTTACTCTGTAAATTGAACAATTTCAGCTTTTAGCTGCATGTCCAATGATTTTTATCTCAATAAACCAATACAATACAATACAATACAAAAAAAAATATGAGGCAAACTTTTATTAAACAGATCAAACATGAAAGTGGTGGAGCTGTATAAGTTCTTCACTCTCTAAATGAAAAAAAGCACGAACTGCCATTTTCTGTGAATACAATATGCTTTTTAATAAATATGCTTCTTCATAATGCTTCCCCACACCTGTGTGGTTTTATCCACGTTTTATATGATAACGAATAATGTCAAAGTACTCTAACTTTCATCCTGATACACTAATTTACTTAACGATAATGACTATTCCATGGCAGATTCCTATCATAAGTGGCAACGTCAACCTCTTAGATTTCCTCTCCAGCTATGTTCAGTTTACCATTAAATACCTATTTTTACTCTTTCCACTTATCGACATGAAAAACGTTTTCATTTAATTGAGGTTTTTTAGCAATGCAACAATTTTCTGTGTGTTGTTCAGTACTTCATCCACATAAATTTCGCCCTGGTCAGCTGGAAAAGTATGAATTATGTTAGAATCATCGGCAAACAGCAGCAAATTGAAATAATTAGTTACTGATGGCAGATCAATTATATATAAAAAAAATAAAAAAACAGAGTTATAGTACTGATCCTTGTGGAAGACCACATCTTATCTTATATCTTATGGATAACGTTTAACCACATTGAACAATCCGTTACTAAGATAGTCCTTAAACCATGCGCAAGGTTAAACTTGATTGCCATGATTAGAGAGTTTTGCTAGTCAGTATATGTAGATTAATGTTTTAAAAATTGCTTTCTTAAAATCTATGAATATGCCAAGAGTTAAACTCACTTCTTCGTTCCTGTAATAGCAAGCAATATAATAATCTTGATGCAGCGAAGAGGGTAAAAGTTTACACACTAATGGGTATAATGTACTTAAAATTGAATATGGTTTACGCAATATTGGGTAGTAATAATTTACCCAACAAACATTTCTTTAACTAATGTTTGGTCGATTTTATAGGCCCGAATTGTACAAATATTTAAACCCGACGCTGGATTTAGACTTTTGTCAAAAAAGTGGTTTAAAAAAGAAAATTGGGCAGAGATCTAAGTTTTCTTTCAAATAAGATTTTAGACCCTGGATAGGACGTAAATGAATTAGGAGAATACGGACCTTACAGTATACCTTTATTATGTTTCGTGCAAATCCAATGATTTTGTTTGTTAAAAACAAAAGACAGGTAGTTGGTAGATGTAGGTTGTAGGAATAAAGAGGCATAGATCCTGGATTAAAGATGAAGTTGAGTTCTGGTCATGCGATTGCATTGTGAAAGAAACGGTGTGGAATCGGCTAGAAAAGGTCGATCATCTAGCATATACGAATTTGTGTTTATTGCAAGGTTCTGGAATCCTCAAAATGATAAGAAATTTGGCCAAGTATTGGAAAAGTTACAAACACTGTATACAGAAAGATGTATATGGGACTACACGAACACGTAGCGTTAAAATCCTACCCCCGAGTTTTACGATGTTACATAACATATCTAGAATATGAAGGCATTTGAAGAGCCATGCTTTTCAGGGAACATGTCCTAACTGATGTTCTTCCACACTTGCATAATAAGAATGATAAGGCTCAATAATTATTTTTCACCTCTTCCCAGAACTCAACCTTATCTTTAAAGGGTGATATGGAACAGATTGAGCCTGCTCCCTAATCACTGGTGTCTGTGTCATCATCTTCCTTTTGATCCTTCCGAGGATCAGCTGACTTTGTTCTTTTAAACGCATAGTTCTCGCAGAGCTCTTGACAGTCCCCACGATTCATGCGTTCGAACGCCTTGGCCAAGTCCCCAAGGTTCTGAATCTTCTTTCGACTCTCTGCAAGAACGAGTAGTTCTTCAGTCGGATTCTTGCACTGCTCCAGATGTTTTATGTATTCTTCAAGTCCCAGCTGAATGGCAAGACCTCTCCAGTCCTCAAAAGCTGGGCTTTCTCTGTTCAACCGGCAACGCAGCTCGTGCTGTAGCGTAGGAGGTACTATTGAAGCAATTGCAACAGGAGCAGCAGCATTTCCTTGAGGATTATTCCCTTGGGAATTGTTGATGACTCTGATATTGTTGATGTTGATATAGACGCTTCCAGAACGCTGGTGCATATTTCGATCTGCTAAAGGTCCTGGAACCAATTCTTGGACAACGTTTGCCGGAAATGCTTGTGGGGCTAAGGCTCCCATCGTCTCCTCTGCTGCAGACTCTAATGAATGGACGGGCACTGTCGATGATGCCAGAGCTTAAAACAAAATGAACAATAAGATGATATGACGTAAATCAATTACATCGTTCCAATTTCCGAAGAGCATGTGAGGCGTATATCACAATATATGCGCTTCTATCCCGGTTAAGGTCCAGCAACCGTTTCAGGTAGCCTGCCCACTTATTACACATAGATCGAGCGTAGCATAATTATAAACACTAATGTTTTGCCAAAGGATTTCGTTCTTTACTATCTGTAACATAACATCAAATGTCACCTTAAAGTTACGATTGATTGAGGAGATAAGCTTAATTTTTTGGAGGTACAATTGACATTTGTGATGTTACCGAACCCAGAACACGGCTTTATCTTTCATCTCCTTACCAACTGTCTCTGTCTCTGTTACCAAGTCATCTGTGACTTGGTAGGCATGTTCACATGACGGTAACTCTATCGATGGCGGAGTCAACGGCCTAGGTCTTGTAAGGACTTCAGTAGGACTACTTCTATCTGAAATAAAGCAACGTAAACAAAAAAAGCTTTAAGAAAATGATTAAACCAGCCCCCGACTTGTGCTGTAAAGAACTCTGAATGATCCGTTATCATCGTAAGTCGACCCTTGAATTGTATTTCATAACTCTTTTGTATTGACATGATTGAGATAATATCATGGAACATGAAGTGTAGATATACAATTGTTCAATTTACAGAGTAAAAATCATAGGATCTGAAAATACATCAATAATACAGTAAAGGATATGATTTAAAACATAGGCTACTTCCAGGAATATAGGCCGCAGTAGCGGTTCTAATTACCCCCCCCCCCCCCCCCCCCCCCCCCCAAAAAAAAAAAACATATTCGCATGTATTTCTTCAGAACCGCTCCTGATAGGCCATAGTTTTACCCTTAGTGTCTGCAGGCTCATGTGATGTCGAACCTATATAAAAAAAAATCAACAAAAAAAATCATTGATATTACCTTTGTACCATACTGTAAAGCCGATATCCTTGGTGATTTTTTGCTTCAAGATGAGAGTGACGAGAACTCCGGATACTATCCTTTCACGTGGCTGAAGAGTGAACGACATCCGATGGGTCGTCATGTCAAAGAAAGCACATTCTTCAAGTTCCTAAGGATGTCAGAGATAAACATCAATTAAGCGTATTATAGCCCCACTACACTACTTATAGCTACTTGCACCCAGCCAACAATGCCTAATCGGTGACCATTGGTCCAACGTGGCCCCCTTTTTATTATGTTAATTGAGAGATGACTTGATAAGATAACCACCTATCAGTGACCATGCAGGGAGGTCTAATCCATCCTGGCCAAACTAGTGCGGATAGGCTTTAAGGTATCGGATTACACACTGTTGGCAAATAGACCCTGAGATATAGCGCTGTGCAATGAACATTGCGCTTATGCAGAACGTTCATCAGTTCAGTGCCGCTCGTGTCTTTGGTAATGTAGAACAATGTATATTAGGCCATGCAGAATAAGTAACGGACGATCGTTTGTCAGGATAATTTCCTTCGGGAGAAACAACAAAATCATTTATATTGAAGTTCTTACCTTGTTTGACACCTCTTCTTCGTTTTCCAAATGTCTGACAAATAGGGCTCCCTTTCCCCAATATACACAGTACTGCTCACCAGGAAAGGCTACCCTGTAGTCTCGTATGGTATCCTGCAAAAATTTGAACACAATATCATACGGACCAATATACACAGAATGATAATGACAATGATAATAATGATAATAATAATTGAAAAACATCGAGAACAAAATTTGAAAAAATGCTGTTCTTCCACAGGGCACTGGAATATACTCCAGCAGTTGCCAGATACTCGGTTACACTTTCGAGTAAAATATGGATTAATGTCTTATCAAAGAACGTTAGTGCCGGGCTAGCATTCGAACCCTTAACCCTTGGATTCAATTGAATGAACGACTATACCAAGACACCTCCACAAAACAGGCAATTAATCGTTCATGGGTCTCGAAATGATTATCTACTCCAAGATGTGAAACGTTTATCTGGTTTGAATTGAATTGACAGTTATCTGTTAATAATAATAAATATGGTTATAAAACTTTTTTGTACCAATTCCAGTGTTTACTAAACAAACACAATTACAGTGTAAGTTCCATGAACTTACTATAGGATTTCCTGTTCATTTTAACATTTATTTAATTCAGATGCATCTTCTTGCACTTGAATTGTACCCTAGGAATCCGGGATCGTGCAAATGTCAAATTTAATTTAAAAATCATGTCACCCAAGTTAGCCAATAGTTAATTAAAATCAACGCTTGTCCATTTATTTCCGTCAGATTTCATTCGAACTCGTCTCACCGTGCGGTCCAAGTTCGTCATTGTGCAATCGATTACAAGAGAATTTCATTCAAATTCGCTGGACAGACATGACCTTATAACGATCGAGGGGTGTATTTGAATGACACTTTGACCAAAATCAGTTGCAAAAGGACAAAATTGCTTCATGCAATCGTAAGTTGGCAGCCAAAGACGACGAACATGATTTGACTTTGACGAAATTAGATGCAAAATGATGAAATCGATTGGACAAGGTCTGAAAATGAATGGCCAAATACGAAATATATGTTTAATTCTTGTACTATACCTCTTGCATGCCGTAGAAGTCGTCTTTAATGACGAGGTAGATGCGGTTCAACACGTCTCTGTATGTTGACAGGGGAACGTATGGCGTACACATGAGCCGCTTACCGATGAAGTATCTCCTGATCAAGGAGATAATCCACCATTCCGAGAAATGGTCTATGTACAGAGTAAGGTGATTCTTTGCGACTACACACCGAGCAGCTTTGTCAGGAGCAGGAACTATCCTTGAGAATTCATCAGACCCTTTCAACAAGACAAAAAAATAGGGGACCGTGTTAATTGTGTTACGCAGGGAACTGTCAATACTCTGGGATTTACTTTCATATAATAAAGAGAGAAAAATATTTTTTGTAAGGTTTGCAGACGGAGGGTCATTGTTTATTCATAAGCAATTTCGTACAAGAAAAATGTCACTTGCTGTTTGATGATTGGCTATTAACAAATTGTTTTATGTATTAGATCATGCATTTAACATTTTTGTCAGACCTTTGCGACTTATAAGTTTTTCAAACATAACAACTGAAACATTTTTCCTTTCAGTGAATTTCTATTCTAATAGAAGATTATCGAGTAAAACTCAGTAAAACAGAAAATTCTGAGAAAAACATAAACATCCAAGTGAGGCCATATGATACCAAGAAAGTAAGAAAAGATCAATTTTGTGAGAAGATCTCTGTCGTAATTCTGATGTGTTCGTCGTGTCAGTCAGGGGCTCTCTGCACTGCCACAACATATTCCCCCGATCCCTTCCACTTTTCTTTTGTTTGACCAAAGAACATTAACTGATTGATTACACTTAAATTTAATTAGTCGACGCCAATATGTTTGAATACAATGAGAAATGTATACTAGATCATTTCATCGCGATACCACTCACACTTTGAAAGTTCAGGTCAAAGCTTGATTACCGACAATAATCAGTGGTAGATATGGACCTGTTACAGAGACTGCACTGTGCGCAAAGTTCTCATTGAAATTTGCTTCAGTCTTACTTAAAGAAAGCAATGAATAATTAGTTTTAAAAGATCAATGTGTAATTTCAATGCGGAAATTTGACCAAATGTGGATTTCATAGGGGGAAACCCTATTTACGCTCCTCTCCCCCACCCCTGGATAACACAATAACACAGTAAATATAACCAATGGTTATATTTATGGATATTTTAGCCGTTTCTGAACCGATTTTAATCAAACAAAGATGATTTTGTCATTTAAATTGTATATTCTTTCAAATTTCACACTCAGTTTTTCATTATTTCACCCAAAAAAATGTGTAGCGCCCTCCCCATCATAACTCAACTATCCCTTTAAGGTGAAGATGGATAGAGTGCTGATGATGATCCTGAAAATTGCCGATGATTATGTAGCAACAAACTGTTGTGATCTGTAATGACAGAGCTGTTTGACTGCAGGTTCGAAACTGATGATGCAGTCTTATGCAGAATTGGGTAACTGGTGTTTAACCTTGTAATGTTTGTCCGTTATTCATAACGGACATCACATTCGAAACTGTTAATGTCAAAATGTAATTTGTTCTTATCAAACACGATCACAAAGGCCTTCGAGAAATCAAGTCAAGGGCAATTTTAATAATCTATGATATAAGACGCCTTAAAAAATGTAGCCAATGGCAAACTTGTATTCAAGTCACGTTTTAAAACTTTATATTTTTTCCATCGCGCCTGGCTGTGCTATTTTTGTGCAGGATCTATGCAAGTCATGTGCAGCGCCACGCAAGCTCTGTGCAGCATTGTTGATCTACTCATATCTCTTTGCGTTCAATGTTTAAACGCGATGTAATGCACGTAATTACATATTACATGATGATGGGAAAGTACCATGAAGCGTACCTTTGCCGGGTACCCATATAACACTTTGGTGGAGAGTGGCAAATTCAGATCTAAAAGTCTTGCAAGAGACATTGGTGCCGCGAACCGTGAATTCTGTGATCTGCAGTCCATGACGTATCCACGAGACCACCACATCTCAACAGTTTTGATACAAAGAAGAAGGCAACTTTTAGCATAGGCTTGTCTTATGTATATCGATACGCCTTCAATTCAATATAAATCTAAGAGCGAATCAAAGAAGATTAGACAAAGAGAGGGAAATAAAAGGAACCGAAGGGAAATGAATTAATATGGAAATATGAGATTATGGTAAAAGGAAGATCTTACCAGTCCTTCGGGTGTATAGCACAATTTCTGCCTTGTTTGGGTTGGTGAAAATGGCGCTATGCGAGACCTTGACTTCCACCGGAGTTTGAAACTGAAGACCAGGAGGGGATAGCTTAAGCCCAACTGAGATGATAACTTCGTCTTTTTCCAGGTTTAAGTCAGGTGGAATGGTGGTCAATGCTTCTGCTGTGATATATTTGGTTCTGTCCGGATCGTCTGGTGACATTGGAACCTTGATGCTGCACTCGTCGAGATTTATAGTCATTGTCTCTTCTGTAATGCTCTTCCTCGAGGAGCGAGAGATGTCTTGTGGACTGGTAAGATATGGATCGTATGGTCGGGAGTATGGGCGGGGCATGTAGTTAGGGAAAGCCTCACTACCAAAAGTACTGCGAAGGTAGTCATTGTGGTCCTCGTCAAACCTAATCAATAACTTAACGATCTTTGTGGCTTCTCTATTTAAAATAAAGTTATGTATATCCAGATGGCCACCATGAAAAGCAAGGCCTGCAGGTGTCCAGTAATCATCAGTAAGTCTCCATAGGTCTGCCCCTTTACTAACGAGGTATTTGACAACATCAACATGACCCTCGATTGATGCTATGTGAAGAGCTGTAAACCCATTTCTATCAGCAATTTCAATGCCTGCTCCTTTGTTCACGATATACTCGGCGACTTCAAGATGGCCTTCTTGAGAAGCATAAGACAAGGGTGTCCTGTCAGTTTTGTCACATTTGTCAAGCTGTGCCCCTTTTCTAACAAGGTATTTGACAATATCAAGATGATCCTTGAATGATGCTATGTGGAGTGCTGTAAACCCGTCTCGATTGCAGTTATCAATATTTGCTCCTACGTTCAGTAAGACCTCGACAATATCCAAATGGCCTCCTTTTGTTGCAAGACACAAGGGTGTCATTCCGTTCCTGAATGCTTTGTCAACCTCTACCCCTTCGTTAACGAGAACTTTGACAACTTCGAGGTGTCCACCAAATGAGGCCAGACTAAGTGCGGTCCAACCATCGTCAGTGCCCCTATCCAGCTCCGCTCCTTGACTGGTGAGATATTTCACTCCATCAATATTACCAGTGTGTGATGTAGCATGTAGTGCTGTACATCCACCTTTACCACACGTGTTAATGTTGGCTCCTTCTGTCAAAAGGAATTCTGCAATGTCAAGATGGCCACCGTCTAAACCACAATGTAGAGGTGTCCAGTAATCATTAGCAAGCCTCCCCAGGTCTGCCCCTTTACTAACGAGATATTTGACAATAGCAAGGTGACCCTTGAATGAAGCTATGTGAAGAGCTGTAAACCCGTCTTTATCACTAATGTCAATGCCTGCTCCTTCGTTCACGATATACTTGACGGCTTCAAGATGGCCTTCTTGAGAAGCATAAGACAAGGGCGCCCTGTCGTTTTTGTCACATTTGTCAAACTGTGCCCCTTTCCTAACAAGGTATTTGACAATATCAAGGTGACCCTTGAATGATGCTATGTGAAGAGCTGTTAACCCATCTTTATCACTAATTTCAATGCCTGCTCCTTTGTTCACGATATACTCGACGACGTGAAGATGGCCTACTTGAGAAGCACAATACAAGGGTGTCCTGTCGTTCTTGTCACGTTTGTCAAGCTGTGCCCCTTTCCCAACGAGGTATTTGACAATAGCAAGATGACCCTCAGATGATGCAATGTGAAGAGCTGTAGACCCACCATTATCACTAATTTCAACGCCTGCTCCTTTGTTCACGATATACTCGACGACGTGAAGATGGCCCTTTTGAGAAGCCCAATACAAGGGTGTCCTGTCGGTTTCGTCACATTTGTCAAGCTGTGCCCCTTCGTTAATGAGAACTTTGACAATGTCAAGGTGTCCCCCCAATGAAGCCAAACTAAGTGCGGTCCAGCCATCTTCAGTGCTCCTATCCAGCTTCGCTCCTTGACTGGTGAGATATTTCACTCCATCAATATCACCAGTTTGTGATGCAGTATGTAGAGGTGTACATCCACCTTCATCACACGTGTTAATGTTGGCTCCTTCTGTCAAAAGGTACTCTGCGATTTCAAGATGGCCACCGTCTAAGGCAAGGTGTAGAGGTGTCCAGTAATCATTACCAAGTCTCCCCAGGTCTGCCCCTTTACTAACGAGATATTTGACAATATCACGATGCCCCTCCAATGAAGCTATGTGAAGAGCTGTAAACCCGTCTTTATCACTAATTTCAATGCCTGCTCCTTTGTTCACGATATACTCGACGACGTGAAGATGGCCTACTTGAGAAGCACAATACAAGGGTGTCCTGTCGTTCTTGTCACGTTTGTCAAGCTGTGCCCCTTTCCCAACGAGGTATTTGACAATAGCAAGATGACCCTCAGATGATGCAATGTGAAGAGCTGTAGACCCACCATTATCACTAATTTCAACGCCTGCTCCTTTGTTCACGATATACTCGACGACGTGAAGATGGCCCTTTTGAGAAGCCCAATACAAGGGTGTCCTGTCGGTTTCGTCACATTTGTCAAGCTGTGCCCCTTCGTTAATGAGAACTTTGACAATGTCAAGGTGTCCCCCCAATGAAGCCAAACTAAGTGCGGTCCAGCCATCTTCAGTGCTCCTATCCAGCTTCGCTCCATGACTGGTGAGATATTTCACTCCATCAATATCACCAGTTTGTGATGCAGTATGTAGAGGTGTACATCCACCTTCATCACACGTGTTAATGTTGGCTCCTTCTGTCAAAAGGTACTCTGCGATTTCAAGATGGCCACCGTCTAAGGCAAGGTGTAGAGGTGTCCAGTAATCATTACCAAGTCTCCCCAGGTCTGCCCCTTTACTAACGAGATATTTGACAATATCACGATGCCCCTCCAATGAAGCTATGTGAAGAGCTGTAAACCCGTCATTATCACTAATGTCAATGCCTGCTCCTTCGTTCACGATATACTTGACGGCTTCAAGATGGCCTTCTTGAGAAGCACAATACAAGGGTGTCCTGTCGTTTTTGCCACATTTGTCAAGCTGTGCCCCTTTCCTAACAAGGTATTTGACAATATCAAGATGACCCTGAGATGATGCTATGTGAAGAGCTGTAAACCCATCTGTATCACTAATTTCAATATCTGCTCCTTCGTTCACTAACAGCTCTACCACATGAAGATGGCCTTTCTTTGAGCATAAGTGAACCGATGTTTGTAGGTTAGCATCGACAACATTCACTTTTGCTCCATGATTCGTAAGCCATTTAACCGTTTGCAAATGACCGTTTTCCGAAGCAATGTGAAGGAGTGTCTTGCCAGACTTATCCGAGCAGTTTACATCAACCCCTCCCGAATCCTCTGACTTGCCGTCTGAGCCGATTAATGATTGTATCTTCAGGACGTCTCCTCTTGCTGCTGCTGAAAACAGTGCCATGTTAAACGTAATTCACACCCACAATGTTTTTCTCTCTATGATATTACCGTGCTCTCCAAACACCATGTTACTTATTGTCATGTGACATTGAACTACTGTGTACATTAGCCCGTACCCTTTAGTAGCGATAATATTTGTTCTATTCTGAAGGAACACTCAAGCGTGAGTATATGAAAGCATTACATAAATTGGACTTTGCATTCATATCCATATTGGCTTCTGAAGTCTGACTACATTACTGTACTGCGTATTGCGACTATAGAGTCCTATTGCCTTGCCATTTCTCTATCTTTTTTGTGGGCCTGAAATATACCTGGTTTTAGATCTGCGCGAAGGAGAAAGAACATGGCTGATCAATATTTCATTACGCCTCATTCATAACCAGTGCTAGGGTGACCTGCCCCCTCCCTTTCCCCACACAAACAAACACACACACTCAGATACATATGAGAAATATGAGAGAAAACAGAAAAAAGAGAGAAAGACGAAAGGGACAGAGAATGATAAAGAAAACAATCTCTACCATCGCTTTTATTTAACACTCTACATGTGTAATGCTGTAATCTGCTGATGTAGAGTACTCGCTTCATTTCTCTAGAATTGGCTGAATATAAACCAAATTTGTCATTGTATCGCCATCAATTAAGCATTATAAGGTTCTAACAAAGTGCTAATTATTCGTCTCACTCCATCTCGAGCCCTTTGCTCACTTTCATTATTCTCATATAGAATTCATACTTAGAATTTCGTAATTAAAGAAGATGAACTAAAATCCTCATTCTTGAGAATGAGTTCTAAAAATGAAATAGAGAAATTTCGATTTACGGGTTGTTCAACAGACAGAAGATACCAGACGAACAGCAGACCGGACACACTATTACGTTGCCCCGAATCGCCGAGAATCAGTCGATTTGAAGTCGGTTTTCGAGAAATGATTAATACCTTAGTCACACTGGCAAACCGACTTCGCACCGACTCCAAAAAGTCGAAACTGACTTCTTTTTGGCCTCTGGGTAATGTTATCGGTTGTCTGGTCTGGTCTTGGTGTGGATGTCTTTGTATTTTATTTGTCGTAGTACGTATTACAAGATAGGTTCAATTCTATTTTTCTTCGAGGATCTTTTTCGGTGGATTACAACTAGTTAAATATCACCTTTATTTTCTCATTCATGAAGAAGACAATATTATGGTTTGTTATTGTGTGGTCACTTTCCTTCAAAGTGTTCAGAATATAATATCATTGTTAATAGTGATGGACTTTGAAAAACTATCTCTTTCTTGAAATTTTCTTTTTTATAAATGTAAATTTTATCGGGGGTGGAAAGAACAAAAAATCTCAGATATTTAATTAGCACATGGTTCAAATCACCTCAAACATCCACATATATTTTAACTTTTGCATAAAGTAACCTAGGTCTTCAAATGTCAAATTGTATTAACAAACTGGAGTACTGGATCCGAGAAGGTCGTTGCTGAAGGTTAAGTTGTGGGTTGAAATACCCTTAACATACCTTTAATTCCGCATTCTGAAAGTCAGAAGTTTTCAGAATATCACCCCGTATTGCTTGATGGTATGAAATATATATCTGTTGTAAGTAAATTGCCCCTAGAATGGTCAAAACCTGTGGTGCTGAAGTTTTTAAATCATTGCCAAGAATCGGGTAATTCTCTAAAAACAACCAGCAGCTACCTACATGCAATTTAATTCTAAGAGCGTATACTGATTAGCGTTCACTTTGTTGTCAAATACACACACGCATGATACATGTAATAATCTATCTTACATAGTCTCTCTCTTTTCTTTGTGTATGTCTCCCTCTCTCTCTCTCTTTTTCTCTCTCTCTCTCTCATTCTCTCTCTCTCTCCGTTTCCCTCTCTCTCTCCATATCTCTCCCTCTCTCGGCTTCCTCTCCTCCCATTTCTATATCAATCTATTCCATCCTTCCTCTATGTCACTTCTCTCTTTCTTTCCCCTTAGCTTGTATCAAATTTTCTTCTATTTTTTTAAAAATCTTGCCTTTTATCTTTTGATTTTAAAGGGATAGTTGAGTTGTGTTGCAGGGGGCGCTACACAAAATAATTTTTTTTGTGAGATAATGAAAAACTGAGTGTCAAATTTGAAAGAACATTCAATTTAAATGACAAAATCATCTTTGTTTGATCAAAATCGGTTCAGACATATCCATAACGATTTCTAATATTTGTGTTCCACCACAAATTCGATAATTTAAAAAAGCCGTTAAAAAAACGAAATAGCGCCTTTTACGTTGGATTTTTTGTTGGCTTTGTCGTGTTGGTTAAAATACTATTACGCACAACCAGCCGGCCCATGTATTGTTATTAATTAATTAATTAATTAATTAACGGTAACCGTATTTTTTTGAAAGTGGAGCTGAATTGGTATGATTGTATTGGCTAAATATTACACATGTTGGGGTCTAAAATTACCTTTATAGCAATTTTAGGTCCCAAAAGGGCACTAGAAATGTCATAGAGAAGACTAAGAGTAATAAGCATGCACTTTGAAGGCATTTGCGGTCTGAAAACAGGACTCAACTATCCCTTTAATGTCCAGTATTTTCTTGCTATACACACTTTTTATCCTTGTATTTCATCTAATGTCATGAATGTAATATGCCTATTAATCCTTTCTACATCTCCTTCGCCCTTCGCCTCCCCTCTCTCTTTCTCTCTCTCTCTCTCCTCTCCTTTCTCTCTTTCCTTTTCTCATCCCCCTCTCTATCTATCCCTCTCTCTCCCCCCCCATTTCTCTCTCTCTTTCTCTTTCCTCTTATAATGAGGCCCCTATATAACTCACAACTTCTACCCAGTCTTACTCATAATCATAATTCGCCAACAAATTACAATAATTTCTTATGCTAATCTTAAAAAGTGGTCAACTCTGTGTTTTGGCAATATGCATGCACGTTTTCTAAAAATCTTCTTCTGTTTCTAATTGACAAAAGAAATGCGAAACCTGGCATATAGCTTTTCCGATTTTATAAATATTTATTAGTTCTATATACATGTACGTACATTTTGTAATTATATCTTGTCTTACATAAATTGGTTTCACATTGTGCACGGTGAGACATTGAGATCTTCATTATTCATTACAACACTATCATAAAATACATTTGAAAACATTAAAGAAATTGATTTTAACAAAGAAAATACGTATCAAAAGTATTCCAACTATCCATCGTGCAACGATTCGTACTTTTTCATTTATCAAAATTATTTTTTAGTAACTAAAATGATCATGACACAACAATAATTATTTCTGAGAACAACTGAATTCTAAGGCCTACTACTTATGGAGAAAAAATATCTTAGAATAATACAGGTAATATTTGCGATTTGTATATGTTCTATTCGAGACACCGTTTTCACTATTTTAGTTTGCTTCACTATTAAGGAAGGATACACAAATGATAGAGATTAAAAAGACAGGAAAGTAGAAAGATCTGATCTTTCCTTATACATTCAGAACTTCAGAATGTAAACAAAATTATGAATGAAAATAATGAAGGTTTTATATCCAAAAGATGTACTGTAATCAAATCTAATAAAAATGCATATCATATTTTAACATCGGTGCTGCAATGGGGGCTGGGGGAATCAGCTCTATTTATAATTGATGGGGAGAGATAATGAAAAACATTTCCTTTGTATTGCATTTGAATAATTCACCTTAAATTTGATGACAATCGTGGAAACAAATTTGTTATAATCGAGTATCGCAGATAATTTTCGACGAAATTTCCTTTTGCGATGTTCATAATTTCAATTATGACTTCAAGAAAATCACAAAGTTTTACTCAAGTTAACGTTGTCTCCTTTTCCCTGGTGTGTTACTTGTTACTAGCTATCAAGTAAGTGTGACCAATGTTTGGTCTGCAGGCCTTTTTTATTCTTCATACCTTGAGTGGAAAACCTAAGTCGCCAACCTTTCGTAAGAAGAGTCAAGTCAAATAAAACTTGAGATTCTCATCTCTGTTACTGTTTCCACACTCCAGTAGTGACTGTTTTGCCCTCTAGGCAGATACATCAGAGATTACTAATGGCCCACAATGCATCTCTGAGTCACTCTTTTTTTGGTTAACTTCCACCCTCTCCCAAGCACATCGATCGATTTTTCCCTCTCCTCTCCTCACGCGCTCCCTCTAACACTAACGTAACGCGAAGAGAAACTATCGAATTACTCTTTGTGCGATCGCAATCGCTCGAAGCGAAATTGCATGAATTATCGTCTGCGCTGGGTGTGAAGCGCGCGAAAATGAGCCCAAATTTTGCGTAAGTCGTAAGTTAATGGCAGATAGAGTTGGTAACCGCCCGGAGCGCACGGCGTAGAGATTCTCTTGCCACTGTTGCAAAAATGAAAGAGGATTATTGGTACTCTTTGAGACTTCCTAATTGTGTTGAATTCTGACGTTATTACCTTTGTCATGTGGAGTATTTTGACAGCATTCGGTTATTGAATAAGAGGTGTCATTATTAAGCCCTCCACTCGTTGCCGAAAATCACTTTTGAAGGCTTTAAAGATGAAAGATTATCATGATTATGCTGACATCATATTGATTTAGAGAGTAGCTGTAATAGAAAACACCCCTTAGCCACCCAATCTAAAATTCGAAGGGAGACTCATCAATTCCTTTTTATTTTAGTCTATAACGACTAAACCTAGGCGTTCAATGACAATTTTGTTAACCAAAATCATAGAAACATTAATTTTTGAAAGTGAGAGAGCACAATTATTGTTCACCGAAAATTGACTATCATGTGATATCAAATATAATCATGCTGAATTAATACTTAAAACAAATGTAAATATCAATCTTAAAAATAACTATCTCACGCAGTTTAGATTTCGTGCATAATTCCCATGGCATGATTATGAAACATAGAAAAAGTAACTGTTTTCTTCAAACAACTTTTCATCTTCAGAAGACGAAAAAGTATTGACAAAGCTCATTGATTCATTTCATAATTCATTGTATGATTACGATAGTCACATTAGTTATCATTTTAGACCATTTCGTGTGACGTTGGCGGTATAATCACAGTGGTAACTGGTAACAAAACAAAACAATCATTTTATTTTAACAACTTTCGATCTTCAGTAGACGAACCTCGAAACCTGACAGGCTGACACAATTTTACGTCAAACAAGAACTCTCTGCAGGTTTTATAATTTTATTCTAAAATTTATAATTGTATTTTCATCGTAGGGCTACAAAATAAAAAATCGTTGTAACTATATTCCTTTACAGATTTTCGATCCAACGTGGACGAAAATAGAATTATATATATTGCCCCTATAAAAGTTATTTTTTCTAATAAAACAACAAAGTTACACAGTAGCTATCTCTAACATTATATATTTGTGCATGATTTCATGATATCAATGAACAATTATTCTTCTTTTACTTTAAACAAACTTTCTATCTTCAGTAGACGTAGATGACTAGTGTTTTAGTAGAGTTCGTCTTCGAGGCCATACATAAATCGTCTTAGTTTCGGCCTCGAACCGAGTCACGAAACTTATGGAAGGTAATATTTTCATCGGCTTCATGGCTTGAAACTGCCAGCCTCAACTACATCACTGAAAAAATAAATAGCTTTCAATGATTACATCGCTACGTAGTTGAAATATGCCTGCGTTAACAGGTTTAATTCAAACTCTGGTTACTTTTAATGCTATTAAAGTCTTAAAAACGTTAGTGTCCCTTTATAAAGGGACACTAGAAAACGTGGTGTGAGTGCGACCTCTGATGGCGTAGTCCGTTAAGCTGGAAAATAGTTCACCTCATCATGATAATAACGGTGGTCGAAGAGATGATGCATTACTAAAGGTCCATTTTCAATGCCCTCTTAGCACTGTTCTTTTGTAGAGGTAGGCTTATATTATATTGCCAAGATGTCTCTGGGTTGTTTCTTAAATTCTTCTTGCACATTATTCCGTTGACAGACGGTTGGCAACCCTCTGCCAGTAGACTCATTTACAAAATAGTTACATTACATTTCGTTATTCCACATCCTCGTTACAATAATGGTCATTATCATTTTTCATTGCTTTAAAATCACAGTTTTTCACATTCTTTCCAGGATCTTCTCGATTTGCACTTTTCCTAAAGTCCTCCTGAAAAACAGTTCTTCTAGATTTTCCGTTCCGACTCGCTTCAGTGCGGGCATTGTGAGCAGCAGTTTGCCGAATCTCGCGGGACTTTCGGGATGCACGATATTCTCGTACTGCGCGAGAACCACCTGCGATTGGTCGCGAAAGAATTCCACCTTGCTCTTTTCTCGAAGCGTTCCTTTGGTATCTGTAGTAAAGGGGAAATATAAGAAATAAAAGATGGAAATTAGTAACTTTTGTTCAACCAACTTATTAACCAATGAATGACTATCAAATAATTGAAAGTAACCAGTCTCCTCTAGCATGTCTAATAACAACAATAATATTGCAGGTTGGGGGAAAAGAAAAAATTCTTCGAGGAACTGGCTAGAAGTTCAAATGAAAGTTCGATGATGTTTGAATGTGACAGATATTCAATTAGCATTTATAATAAATAAGGGTACTAGAAAACATAAGATTACACAAAAGGATATGAAGGAACGAGTGGAGGTTTATACGGGGGGGGGGGGGAGAAAAAGAAGATAACAGAGGGGTCAGAAAAAAGTTTCAAAGACCCAGAGACAATCAGGTGCTCGGTTGTTTCGCTCACTCCCATCTCGTCTTAATTGTTTCCCCTTGGCTGGATTCACGTACACAACACCATCATTACCATTGTCAATTGGGCTTGTACGGGCTTAATAAACCGTTTAGATTCACGCCCTCTCCCCCTCCCCGATATTCCTTGATTTACTACCAATCCTTACGGACTAAAGATCATTAACAAGGCTGTTTGGTAATTTCAAGTGCGTCTCACTGCATTTACGAGTCAGCGAACCACTCCGAACCTTCCTTCCACGAACAGCGAAGCCTGCACGCTCCCCCGCTCTCACTCTCACTCGCGCGCGCTGTGATTCTCAATGCAGCAGGCGATAAAAAGCGGCGGAAATTCAACTTGGCTGAATCAATATCGGCGGCAGGTCGCCTGCTTGTATTTCTAAAAGAACTTGTCGGTATTGGCGATGGTAGTTTACTCTATCACTGAGAAATGTTTAATTTATCAAAAATCAGTTGTGAGGAAATAATCCTTGGTTTCGACCTCCTAGCGAAAACATAGTTAATATATAGGAGTATTGCATTGTATTGATTGGTTAATGGCGCATGCATAACAGCTAGTTTGGTTATTACGAACCCCGGGCTTAATATTTCAATATCATGAAGATTTTTTTCATAATATAGTTGAAAGAGGACGATTCCTTCAAGGAAAATGAACTCGTGGGTTCTCAGGCTATGGGTTCGTAATCGGATGGTATCTTAAATGCCAGTGTACCCCCTCCCCCCCAAAAAAAAACAACGACTGGGTACACACTCTTTTAGTGTCTGTATTAAAAAAAATTGTGAATGGCTGTTTAGAAGTAAGATGAATATTGGTTGTCTTATCTGGTTTTAAAAAACTATTGCCTCAAGAAAAGCGAACAAAATATTGCTAATATTGAGGGTTCGTAATCGTCCCGTGATATATTGAATGCCAGTATACGCCCCCCCCCCCCCCCGCCCTCCCCCACATATACACTTAGTCATGTACATACCCACACAACTGGACACAACCATGGCACTTTCCGTATCAGTGGCTGATTATTCTGACATGTCTGAAGTAAGGTAAATATTGATTCTCTTATCTGGTTTAAAGAGAACAGTTGCTCCAAGAAGTAAGATGAATATTGATTGTCTACCTGGTTTAAAGAGAACGGTCGCCTCAAGGAAAGTGAATTGGAAATTGCTAAGGTTAAGGGTTCGTAATCGAACTGTGATATGTTGAATACCAGTATATACCCCCACGCACAAGTACACCAAATTGGACATTTGCCATGCCACTATCTTCTTCTTCTTCTTCTTCTTCTTCTTCTTCTTCGCTATAAGTACAGGCCACTATCGGTATCAATGACTGATTATTTTGACATGTCATGTAAGGTTAATATTGACTGTCTTACCTGTCTGGTTTAAAGAGAACGATTGCCTTGAGGAAAGCGAACTCGTGCGTGCTAAGAGTAAGGGTTCGTAGTCGTACTATTTCATGGATGTCAGTGCCCCCCCCCCCTCCCCACCCCCACTCCCCACCAACTAAACATGTAATATGCCACCTTCTGAATAAAAATCTGATACTGGCATTTAAGAAGTAAGATGCATTAAGAAAAAAAGATTTATATTGATTGTCTTACCTGGTTTAAAGAGAACGATTGCCTCCAGGAAAGCGAACTCGTGGGTGCTAAGGTTCAGGGTTCGTAGTCGTACTGTGATCTCTTGGATGTCATCCACGACTTCGCTCTTTCGACGTGTCGCACCCTGTAATTGGAGACAATAGAGGGAATGTGAAAAATCAATTTAAATGGACATAGCTAAATCAGTGAACAAGTATTATCAAAAACGAATCAAAGAACTAAAGTAAATTTTATTGATAAATGTCATTATCTTACTTTTTTGAAATAATGTTGGGTTCAGGTATTTATATTATCTTTTTATCTAAACCTGTGGCATATTAAATCTGCTTTCCATTACAGAAAAATGATTTCATTCGATTTGGTCAAAGGCACGTCCTGCTAATAACAATAAAGATGTATCGACAAGATTCGTTGTATGGGCCTAACAGGGGCGTCAATAACACGCTTTGAGTATGTTTTTTGATAAGAGGAAAATGTCTTATTTGTTAGCAAACAATTATGGTAAAACATTTTCACACGATGACGAGTTTAATCTCAAAGCGGCTGAATGTTGCTCCTCTTTTAATTTCCCTATACACCCATACGTATAATATGATTTCTGTTCATGTCGGGGTTCAGTTTTGATGTAACTATATTTCATTTCATATTAAACTGAAACAAGAACAGTTTGTGCACTTACTTTTGAGTCTGTTTCTGTCTTGGCATCGTCCATCCGTAGGTGGGAGTGGCTTAGCAGAGCGCAGAAGTCTGCGGGGGGCCAGTAGGCGGCGTGGAGCAGGAAAAGCTCCGCCCAACATTCTTGTAATAGGCTATTTTGGTCCCATGGGTCTAACGCCCTGTGAAAAAAAATAACATGGACATTTTCATCATAACTACAATGTCATTGCAAGTTTACTTACAACTGTACATCTAGTCGTATGGACATTTGACAGTGTATATTCTAATTCATTTAAAATAGAAAATAGAAAATATTTCAATATCATAATATTCACATCCTGCAACTTTTACTTGACTGGAATTTATTGAGTTTATTGGAATGTATAGTGTCAGTAAGGAATATTGCACATAGCCTATCTGTTTTAGATGTTTTACTGGCAGAAAACACAGTTGCATTTAGTGTGCATGGAGTTAAAAATTGGGCTTGGTAGAGAATTAATACTATTTCATTCAAATAAAACGGTTTATATCAATATTCTAACTTCCACAATTTTATAAAAGATGACGATAACGATGTCAACTTTATTTTTTTAAAAAAAGGTAAAGATGGAGTGGATAAGCCTATGCATTTTGTGGTCACACGTTCAAGAGAGAAAGACATATTAGGAAAACACGAATTTAGTGTTGTAAAGTAATCATTCAAATTTAAATCATAGCAAATTCCATTCATTCGTGAAAAATAAGAAACGAATAGACAAGAAATGGCAAATAAAGAAAGAAAGAGCATTGCACATTTACGCCAAGGCGTATCATTTTATTCCACATTATCATGAACCATAGGGGTTGATGACATTTGCTGAGATATATATTAGTAATAACAAGGAAATAAAGAACCATTGAAATTAAAAAATTATCACGACATCGTCAACGATCTCGACTACCACTCACCTGAATGGTTGCACTGATTTCGACGTCCTTAGCGCATGGATGATGATCTGCGTAGCGGCCTCTTCGATGGCTGATGCGCCGGAGAGTCGGGGAGAGGTACACATAGCGAGAGGGAAGTTGGCTGCGAGCATGGGAGAACGAGGCAGCCACGGGACAAGTTGGGGCGGGCTAGCAGCGGGAACGGAGGAGGTCGAGCTCCGCTCGGATCCAGAGCTGACTGGGCTTGTACTAGCTCCTGTATTGGTGAGAAGTAAGACAAAAAAAGGCTCTTAATTATTATTTTATTTCAATCATTCTTATGAGATATAATCATAGAACGATCAATAATCATTGATAGAAATGAAAATCGGAGAAAAGGTCCATTGTGTTATTTCATTATTTCACCTTCTTGTGATCGTCTGATCATCTGAAATAAATTGGCCTTCTTAACTGGTATAATAATCTGTGCAATCTTTACGTTTGTGGTAGTATACAGTAAATGTAAAACTGTTATTACAAAATCAGTAATTCTGTTGTGATGATTATTTTCCACAACGATCATGAACGCATTGAATGTAAATCAAATTCACGTTCAAGTTTGAATTACTCAACTACAATAAAAAAGGAAAATACGATCACATTATCTTCAAAATGAAATTGAAATACTAAAATAGATTTAAAATGAGGGACGAAAAGCAAATGTCATATTTTGTAACGTCACGCAAAAACACTTGAAACGTAAAAAGACATGAAAAAGACGTGAAACTATTGATCTGACTGGTTTGTAAAATTCCTGCACGAATATTGATTATCAACAAGTTAAAAAATGCATCTCCTCAGATTCTATCATGTAATTTAATCAATTATTGATCTGTCTGTGTTTTACATTTTGATTCGTGTGTATGCCCCTCCCCCTTCGTGCCCCTCTATTCAATCTATCGCTCTCTCCCTCTCTCTCTCTCTCTCTCTCAGTCTCTTTTTCTCTCTTTTTCTTGTTTTCTTTTTCATGTGTGTTGGTTGAAAGCATCCTCTCAATTGCTAGCTTTTCCTCCTCTTTCTCTCCCCCTCCTTTTATCAATATTTAATTGCTTGTTACGCGCCGAAAGTGGATATCAAACAAACTTTGTTTTTTAGTCGAGTGGTATGAAAGCAAACGGTTTAAATCAACAGTCGCTGAGAAAATAAAAGATCTCGCTTCGTGTAACAAGACGAAATGTGATAATGCCTTTGACCATCGAGCTGGCTTAATGCGTTTATATTGGCTCGCCAAAGATAGAAGAGTGAGGATGATATTGTTTAAGGAAATGGAAAGTAAAGAGAGATGATGTGTGTGACTGTGCGTTAGAGAGAAAGAGAGAGAGAGAGAGAGAAGCAGAAAGACACGCACATAGACATGAAACGGTGAAAAGGGGAGATAGAGAAAGGGAGAGATAGAAATATCAACTATAAAAGGGGGAAAGAGGGACTCGGGAGAAAGACGGTGATAAAGAGGGAAAGAGAGAGAGAGAGAGAGAGAGAGAGAGAGAGAGAGAGACGGAGATATTTTATATATATAAGGGGATAAGTGGAGAGGGAGCCCCTACCCCCCCCCCCCCCCAAAAAAAAAATAGACAAAAACAGGATGATACATGTATTTTAAAATGTATATAATTATTACACAAATATATTGAAAAGGGAGTGGAGGAAGAGAAAGACAGATAACTGGACAGAGGGAGATATAGAAATATATAGGTAGAATGGCAAACGGATGAGAAGCAGAAAGATAGAGAGGGAATGAGAGAGAGAGAGAGAGAGAGAGAGAGAGAGAGAGAGAGAAAGGGAGAGAGAGAGAGAGAGAGAGAGAGAGAGAGAGAGGGGGTGAGTTATATAGTAAGAGAAATATATAAAGATACAGAGAGAGAGAGAGAGAAAGAGAAAGACGGAGAGACAGAGTCAGAAATTACGAGAAAACGAGAGAGAGAGAGAGAGAGAGAGAGAGATTGGTGAGAACAAAACCTAATCATTTTCTCTGGCCTCTCATCTCATCTCATCTCATCCTCGGCCCCTTTACCGTAGAGCATCTCCTGAGTAAATACTCCGTTCGGGGCTCGCCTCCAAACTTTTCTTGGCTAAACCCATCTTCATCTTCGATAAACTTGATTAGACCAATAATCACTGCGGTCTATGATGCTGCGAACGAGGGATGCATGCACAATTACTTGAGGAGAGAAGGGCGGGATGCCGAGGAAGAGAGGAGAAGGGAGGGGGAGAGATGGAGAGATAGATAGATAGAGACAGTGAGACAGAGAGAGAGAGAAATAGAGAGAGAGAAAGAAGAGATCCATATTTAATTATGTAGAGAGAAGTGAGACAAGACCAAGAGCAAAAGAGAAAGACGATAAAAAGAGGGAGAGAGAGAGAGAGAGAGAGAGAGAGAGAGAGAGAATGAGAGAAAAAAAGGAGGGGGGCAAGAGCAAGAAAGTTTTGGTCAGGTATAGCAAATAGAGAGGGGGTATAGGTTGCAACATTATAAAAAGGGGAATGCAAAAACAAAAATAAAACATAAGGATGAAAAGAAGTAGATTAAAACACGAGAGAAGGAAGGAGATTGAACGGAGAAAAAAATGAAGACACACACAAAAACATAATGAATAATTATGGAAATATATATGAATCATAAAGAGGAGAGCTGGGAAAGCTAAAAGATATTTCAGAATTAAACATGACGATTGGAGTGCTTGACTTAGCTGTAAAGAAGGCAATAGCGAATAAGTGAGAAACAGGGTAACATGCAGGAGGTGTGAACTGCCAGATGCAAAAAGTGAAGTAGACATTCTCTAAAGAAGAAGAGATGAAATGGACAGATGGATGGATGTATGTAGAAAGAGAGAGAGAGAGATGGAGAGAGAATGTGAGAATATTGAGAAAATGAAAATACCGATGCTGCACCCTAAACAGCAAAAGTAAAAAGATCGATAAACCAAACTCGTAAAATCTTATTATCCATATCGCCTGGGAGCGGGAACTATTTTTCCAGCGGATCAATAAGCAAGTACACGCCGTCAATCAGGTTTTGATTGTTCACAGCAGCTTTCCTCTTCATCATTTTAGACCATCCTTGTATTTTTGGCTTTAAATCGCTGGTCCCTTCGCAACTTAGAGGGCCCTGGTTTTTTAACTCGCGTCTGTTTTCCAGTGACGGATGGCCGTGCCTCGGCATTGATTAGTTGTCAGCGCCGAGCTTGTTCAGATGCTTTCTGATGTTGGTCAGTCGCGGAGCTCGATGTATCGGTGACCAGGCCAAGTTAGCAAGACGGTTGGTGATGCGCGCCGGTGTTCGATCTTTGTTGTCAGGTCTTTGCCGCCGGAGATCGCGAGCGAGAGGAGGGATGCAGATCGAAGGACGGAGGGAATTGGAGGGGATTCGTGATGAGAGGTTAAGGAAACAGTGTGTGAGAAGATGAAGATGGGCGATAATTACGTAATGATGATGATATCCAGAGGAAAGAATAGGTGAAGGAGAAGATATTAATTATAGCGATAGAGGAGAAGACGGTTGAAAAACACAAGCGCTCAAAAGACAAGACATGCGGGGGAATTATAATGTCAAAGAGCAGACTGAGCACATATCCGTCGATCGGATAATGGATCATTGCAAGACACGATATACATGTAGACAAAACGATAAAATAACAATGGGCGATAGATGATTACAGAAAAATAAGGGGGAAATATTGACAGAGAGAGAGAGAGAGACAGCAGAATAAATAATTAATCAAATACACGTGCAGATAGATAATCGATAGATAGACGGGTACGTAGAAGGATACACAGATATATGAATATATGGATAGATAGACAGATAGATAGATAGACTGGTACTTGCGATAACAAGTATGGGTAAAGATATCTAAAAAATACACACAGAATATTGGATGAGTAAGTATAGGAATTATGAATATAATATCAAAGAGTATGATGACAAGAGCTGTAGCCATCATGACGTAATAATGAGGTTAATGACGACAATGATGACGATGAAGAAAAGAAGGAAAAGAATGAAGAGGAGGAGTAGGGAGTAAATTAATACATTTGCTTTCGGTAAAATCATAACGTCGGATGTTATTTTTTTTTCTCTCTCCATCTGGTGTAATTCTCGTTCGTTATAAATAATATGATCGCTTCAGACATTGAAATCTATGAGAGTAAAGAATGAGAAAATTAAACTAATGGAAATATGATAATAGTCTTTTCAAGAAAACAAGTCTATCTTTCCTTTCTCTTTCCCTCCAAACTCTTTAGACCTATAGCAAGTAATAGCAAGGCATTTTATAGGAACCGAATTAATTTTTGACCTCTCACATAATTGAACATATTTATACATATTTAGACCACTTTTCTTATGTCTATCTTTATCCATATATGCTTTGAGCTATCCTTAGCTTTGAAGCCACACAGTGCATATTCTTTTTACAGACTACTTCTTTGATTATCTTATATGATATGGCGCTGTTTTTGATGTGTTTTCTATTAAAATCCTCCCATTATTCATTGATCCATGTGTCTTTTGCTTCATTGCATATTTTGCTTTATTTTTTTATTCTCTCTCCTTGCTTTCCATCACATCTAGAATATCCTGTGATATCCTCTTTTGTGAGGTTTATTTATGTGATAGAGATGTGAATGTAACTATCTTTGTTTTTTCTTCTAAAAAACCTTTCAGACCTAACAAGCATCGATATTGAGGCATTCTAAGTAGAGAATATATTTTCTTGTCTTTCTAAGGATACTATGATCGCTTTCTTTACAAATCCTCAGCCTAAAAAAATCAACGATATTGATTGAAATTTATGACATGGTCTTTTGAAGAAAAATATTCATGCATTTTCTCCTAAAAAAAATTAAACCCACATGGCAGGGTATTTTAAGCAGTAGATAAAATTGCTGGTAGATAGGAGACAATGTTTGCATTTTCTTCTATAAAATCTTCAGACAAACCATCAACGGTAGCAAGGCATTCTAAGAAAATGACAGATTTATCTGGTCTTTCGAAGAAGACTATCCCTGCCTTTTCTCCTAAAAACCTTCCCGTTTTTAGCCTCCTGATCTTCACTCAAACCAATCGATCGGAAAACGGTGAATTATTCAAGTTTCTGGCAGCTCGCGTCATTGTGGCTCACTTATTGAAAGGCAAGGTGTATGGTGGGGGTAGACGCTTATCTTTACTTAACCTTTTAGCAGCCGGGCTCTCGCGGGCAAACACATCCATTAATGTCCCCCGGAGCTGTGGGGGTTAAGACAATCGCGATGTCTCTATTTTTCTGTTTTGCTAGAGATTGAGAGAAGGCACTGTTTCGTCATGAATAATTCAGATTTTTAGACTTTGATGGCCGTAGCACTTTTGAGCAAATGTGATCTAAGAATGGTGGGAGGTAAGAAGGGGGTTTGTAAGGGTCCCACTCACCCCTCCCTGAATGCATACGAAGACTTACACTCTGTGTTTAGGCCATACAAAGTACCCAATATTGAGTCAAATTTAACCGATTGGGGGCACATTTTACTCAGTATTATGTAAAATCTTATATTCAACAGATATGCAGATTCCCTTTTTACTCAACATTGGGTGGAGTTTCATCAAACTGTTTCCTAGGACCATATTTTTCATTCATGACTTTGATGTTTAATAAGTTTACGTTTATCTATAATATCTTCAGACTACAGGTATCAGTTATTATATTTTATTATTACTTTTAATGCTAATAAAACCCGAATAATTGAAGAAAAAACGAATGGATAAATAAAGTGCAAAAGGGGTGATAACATTCCTGTTTTGAAAGTTAAATCCGTGAAATCATATATATTAACTGAAGTCGCGAGGTTGTGACATTGTGATAAAAGGTTTCATCGAGATTATTGAAATGAAATATGGGAGGGAAGGATACGGCCTTTGAAAATCATGTTTAAGAGGTATATCGTACAAAAAATGAATGCAAAATGAAAAATGCAAACACTTTTCATTGGTTTATTCATAATTTGCCTTCATAATGACACCTCGTGTACAATATGCTATATAATCACCTCTCCTTATCTTCCTTCTCAAACCACATAATATAAAAAGAAATAATGTCTTGGTGCGCCCATAATTGTATTGAGCGATGAGGTGAAAGTTTGGAGTTATTCATTTAACATGAAGGACTTTATGTCTTTGCAGTTTATAGAAAATGGCAACAGAGTGAAAGTTTGTGAAACCAGTGAAATTGCTAAACTCACCCGCCCCCCACACCGTCAATATGAAAGATATAATGTCTCGTTCCGCTCCTAGTTTAAGGAATGGCGACAGAGTGTGAGTTTTGGGGCGACTCAAAGTGTTATTCTCAACTCCTTTCCCCCTCAATACGAAAGGAATGATACCTTGTTCCGCCTGGTTTGAGAAATGGCGACAGAGTGTCACTTTGGGGCGACTTGAATTGTGGCTTACCGCGTCAGAGAGAGAGAGACAGAGTCAACAAGTTGCTTACTTCGTTTTCTCTTTTTCTTTTCGAGGTGATTTAACCCAGCGAATGCTTGAGAAAACTTATGGTTTGCAATCGAAAGTGTGATACTTGAAGGAATAATTTAAAGTAAAATTTCACTTCAAAGCGCCAGAGAGATGGAGAGAGTCAAAACGTTGGCTCACTATAAATCTCTCTTTCTTTTCGAGGTGAGTTAGCACACCGAATGCTTGAGAAAACATATAATTTGCAAGCGAGGGTGTGATGGTTCAAATAATAATACATTTTCAATATACAACGGCAGGAGATAGAGAGGGTGAGAGAGACAGAGAAAGAGGGAAAGAGAGACAGACAAAAAGTTGGTAACTATATTTCTCCCTTTCATTTGGAGGTGATTTAACCGAGCGAATGCTTGAGAACACACATGGTTCGGAAAGGAGAGTGTGATAATTCAAAGACTTTCAGATAATTGTTCAGTTTTCAGGTAGATATAGAGGAATGATTATCAGCGATAAAATGATAGGGTACGCGAAATCATCTAAATATTTTACACTACGAATGTTGAAGAGCTTGAGAGCAGCTGCACTTTTTTTAAACGTTCATTTCCTTAAGCGCAGAGGAAAGTTCGCTGCTTGAAAAAAAAAGAAGAGGTTTAAGCAAAAATTAACATGGTTCGAGAATTTTGCCTAAATCTATCATTCATAGCAGGCAGTTTGCTAAAGAACTTTGGAAAACTGATGAAAAAATTGGTAGAATTGCAATTCGCTACAATTATGTCACAGTTTTTTCTCGTTTTACTTTTTAATGCAGTTATCGAGGTCAACATTCTTGTTCCGTTTCCTCAGAAATAAGTTCCTAGTTTAAATCTTCCCTGACAATATTTCTATAATGCATATTACATATTGCTTTTTTTCAAATGCAAAAGACCAATTTCATCGTCACCTCATTGCTTTAAAGACCGTCACCACTACTGAGCAAGAAGCGATTAGACCACACAGCGAGCCATCGAGGTCACTGTGACAGGTGGCTATCTCATTAACTCAGCTCTCAATTAACATAAGACAAAGAGGATCATGGGGGACCAACAGGCACCGATTGGGGACGTTTTCTATATAGAGGGAGCAAGTAGCTACAAGTATGGCAGTGTGCCTTTAATTCTCTTTCAAAATCTCTGTCCCTAACTATTTGTCTCTCTCCCTCCTGCTTTTTTCACCTTTTTTCTCATTCTCATCTTCTTTCTTTTCTGTTTTCCTCTCTCATTACTCTCCATTACTTTGTATACCCATCCTCCTCACTCGCTCCCACTCTCTTCTTGCCGCTCTTGGCAAAGATTATGGAACATTCAAAATGTGACGAAATTGATAAACATCGAACGTCTATCAAGTCTATAGAAACAATTTGAGTAACATTTCCAATAGATGAGAGGCAACATAATTATACGGTCGAAGAATAAGCTGGCAATTTTCTATAAAAAAAATCATCTTGCTTGATTTGTTATTTTTTTGATATATTCATAGTGCTTTTACTTCGTTTAATTGACATACCTGCATTATCATCGGATCGCATGGCGGCAGCTTGAGTCAGGTGAGCTGCCGCAGCGCTCTGGGTAGAGAAGACGGCGATGTGCCGCTCAAGTCCACCACCCTCACCCCGAGCTGCTGCTGCTGCTGCCGCCGCCGCGGCCGCCATGGGCGGTAGGTGGAGCTGGAATTGCAGACCTGGAAAGTGGGCGTGGCTCGCCAGCATCGGGACCCGCCCACCGTGTCCATTTCGCACAGGCACGACCCGAAAGGCGCTACCACTGGGAGACATGGCGTCGAGGTCGGCAGCAGCGAAAGGGGCGTGTTTGTGTTGGTTGGTGTTCCATGGTTGGAATGGGCGGAACGAGGCTTTAGAGCCGCCGCCGCCGGCCCGGCGGAGATCAGAAGGGCGTCCGCTGGCTGAGCAGTGACCTGCCTTGACTTGCTGTTGGGGCTTCTTCTTACGTGGCCCTCTCTCTTCTTGAACAGCTTAATGAAAGAAAAGAAGAAGAGAAAGAATAATTTTAACAATGCAAGTTGTCATGATAATGTATATACATACCACTGAGATGCTCACATCACTATCTGTATATCTTTCGTGGTATGATATTTAGAAGAAAGTTTTTACTACAAGCAAAATTATATTCATGATGTAAAAACTCGAATCCTAGATAACTTGAAAGAGAAACGTCTTCCTTTGTAGGGGTGATGATGATGTAGTTTCTTTTTTATTAAAAAAAAAAAAATCTTCTTACTTTTGGAATTAAAATTATATTTATAATTCGCGTACTTTTTCTTTTGCTAATTTAAGGTTTTCGAATGTTTCATTCCTATGCTTATAATCAGCATTATACAAGGAATGTCACACAAAATGACTTAGGAGAGATAAATACGTATGCCCTTTGTGTATACGTTATATTGGACGTCTGTTTTGTCGAATTGTTTTAACAAAGTGTTGGAGATCCTTTGCCTGATTTATTTCGAGACATTGAATGATGTAAATGTATATTGTAATATCTAATGGTTTCAATGAAAAGACGATTTGTAGTGCTCGACAAGTATTCGAAATGAAATTCCTATAATCTAAAGATATATCTGACCGGAAAATTCGCATGACACCTTTGCCCAGAAAGTTTTGTGGAACACCTCCTCTCAAACAACCACCAACAATACCGACAAGCAAAAGTAAAAAACAAACAATGAAGAAAAAGCATACAGCCCCCCCCCCCCCCTCTAAAGAAATTCCGAGCGAAACATTATATCAATGTATTTATTTAAACGTTTGAAGTTGTATATCAAACGTCGTCACGAATTATCAACACCATCGAATTCAATGTGAGGAAATGCGTGAACTTCATGACCATTCATTACGTCATCACAATCATCTTCTCCTTTCATAGCTCTGCAATGTATGGTCTCCTCTACAGTCTACATCCTTTACTTCTCACTGAAAATGATTTTTTTTTTAAACTCCCACACCATTTAAAAAGAAGGTTAAGTTTTGCATGGTTTTGATGACAGAAACAAAAAAAAAGTTGTGGGTTTTCGCCTTCATGTTAATTGTTTTAATCTGACGTGGAAGGATGTCATACATGTATTAGCAATATTTCATGAAAATGTATCAATCTTAAATTAGCGTTCCCACAATTTGAATTGTCTCTTTAGATCCAGAAGGGCTTCAAACAGAACTATTCATGACAATTTATGGTAGATTTGAACCAAAATTTACGACCAAGTGTATGCGTGTGTGTGTGTGTGTGTGGGGGGGGGGGGCGTTGTCCCATATATGCCTACTTGTATCCGTGTGGGGATGTTTTGCACTTTTTGTAGTTTTCGTCATTTTGTTATAATTCTAAGTAGCATTAACCAATTACATGTATTCTTGTTTGCCACATAATCCAATCCAACTTTTCCAATAACTTCTAGCTAATAATATCTTTCATCATATTGTAGTGTGATAAATACTTAATTGCTCATGCTCAAATAAATTAAAAGTGGGCAAACTATCATTTTCTGCGTCATTTGCGTTTGGTAAGCGATTTTTTTTCCTTTTCATTCTCACTTTCGTCATCGGACATGCATGGCTTCATTTTTAATAATCAAGCCTCGTTGATGATTACATTATCAAGGTTTTGAATCAAGAAGGTTTGAAGACATCGATAACAATTGGAAGTTTGATACATCATAATTGAGGGCAAGGATCCATCGGATCGGGCAGCCCCCTTAATTTTTTGTTATCTTCAGTGCTCATTTGCCAGTCATTCCACATTTTTCAGTAAAATAATTTAGGCAGATGCATTTTGTCAATAATTTTCCAATAATCTATTGCATTTTACCCCGGTTCCCAACATAAAAAAATCCTCTCTGTGCCCATGCCTTGAGCCATAATGCATGGCCAACCAGAGGATTTGTTTATGTTTAAGACCAGGGTAAAATGCGATAAATTATTGAAAAATTATTGCATTTTGTGTTTTTTATTTTATTTATGGAAACTGCCCCCCTACCCTAGCCCCCGCTGCGAACAGTCATGGTTCAGTGACAAAGCAATGGCCATGTAACTGTGAGCCCCAGGATCAAAACCGTGTCGATGTGCTATATTAGTGCCCTTTTGTGGGGCATTAATCTTCATTACTGACTTAAGAGCGTAGGTCCCCTATTTGATAAGCATAGAAGCATACACATGCTTTAGCAGTCACGCAAAACACACATTTGCAACTTATTATTCAATAAAATCTGAGAATGTATACTTTTATCTAGATCTATTATTTTTTAATTATTTTTAAAATAATTCCATAAATTGGGGTAAAACAAAAATATTCCACCTATATGAGCGACAGTGTAATAACGTCATTTATCATCGACCCCTCTCCCACATCATATTCCGTTCTATTTCAATTTTCTAATATCACATGATTTTTCTCCTGCTTTTTAATTTCTTTTTCTTCTCTTAATGTATAACAAAATCCTGTATTCACCCCACGGTTTCTCAATGTTTTTGTTAACTGTCATATTTTCTGCTCTAATTCATTGACTGTGTTGACAATGTTCTTGTATTTCTTAGGAGTTATAATGGCCCGAATTCACAAAGGAGGTTTGTCGACAAACCTAGGTTTATGCGCGTCATGATAATGACGGTTTGTAAAAACGCGTCAAAACGCGTCATAATTATGACGTACATACACCTAGGTTTGTCGACAAACCTCCTTTGTGACTTCGGGCCAATGAGTCTTTATGAATTCCTTAATTAAAAAAGAGAAAAATATCAAAACAACCATTTGAAGGATGGTGGATTATTTCAATACCAATGTTAACGAGTCGAACTTGACTTAATTTACTTTTATGAGGAACCCCCAAACAGTCAAGAGTGCGAGTATTATGCACCCGGCAGTTAGGGGAGCGACGACGTTATAAACCCCTGATGCCAGGTTCTCCGCGGGTTTTTTCATCAAACGTGCCAACCCCCATTGTGTAGGGAGCAGGTCATAGGTGCGTAGGGGCGCGTCGCGGTGTGAATGGTTGTACACACAAGTCGTTTGTATCAGGACACCATTTAATAAATCTAGCCTGGTAAAAAATAGATTGTGCCTGTCCCCGAAAGGAAATGTAATAATAAACCACCGACCGTTTACAGGGGGGCAGGGCTGGAAAAGGCTGACGACATATATGGGGTGGCGTTTAGGCCAAGCCGGCCGAGGCAGTGGCGTAAAAAACGCCTCAGTTCACGATTAGCAAGAGGAAACCGGATACAGTTAATGCAGCGGCTGTGTAAATGTCGCCAGGGCAGGACCGGCTTTGTTCCTTACAGCGATGGTATGGTGCCTCGATTAATACTGATAATGACAACATGTGCTGTATATATTGGACCTTGTTTCGCTCGAACTGTTCTCATTTCTTTGATTTTGTTCAGTTTACTTACTCCAAGTCCGTCGACAAAAGCCGCCCATGCCTTGCGCACGCTCCAGTGTCAATGGCCACTTATTGCGAACAATAGCAGAGCCCCACCCGTCCACAAATACCCGCCGACTTTTTACCGCGTAACCTCTTGAAGGCTTGCATCCTAACTGCACCGTTCCGTATTAAACTTATCTCATTGTTCCACTGGTGTATCAAATTATCCACAACCCTCCGATGAGGCGAAGGGTCCTCTAAACTCACGCCGTGTTTACAACCAGCAGCGCAGGCCAAATTACATCTCACAATGCTTTTCTATTTTCAAAAGATTGTTTGCTCTCTAACGCGAGGTATGCGGTGGATAAGTCGCCGCGATTCGCGTGTGCATGCATGCGCGCGCGCGTCGCGGCTTAACCCAAAACTGCGGAGCGAGCCAGGAGCTTAACGCTGGTTGATTTTTAGACTTCGGAAAGAGAGCGTAAAAGGGGATCTCTTTTAAAACTCTTAAGATCTATTGTGTACCCACCACGTGTAAGTCGCACCCTTCACAAAATAGTCTCCTGGTGACGGAGGACCTCGCACAAGTTTGGGAAGAAAAGAATCGTTTCTTGTTACCCATTTGACTTTGGTTTGTAGTACCGCCTGTTTAAGCAAGAGTCAGCGCGCAATGTACGCTCTTGTTAAAGTCGTGTGCTGGGTAAAATTGGGGCATTGTTCAGCAGCATTGTGAGCAAGAACTAAGTCAAAATCCCTGCAATAACATGGAAATCTATTAGTATCAAGCGTCAAGGAACAGAACAGCAAGGTTCTATAGCACCAGTCAGTGTTAGATTTAGTAGGACAAGCTCCAGTGTTTGGCATAACGGGAGAGCATGATGACTGCGACTATGTTCGGAGTACGTTGTCATGGTAACCGGATGACTTTTTGAGGCGGGCGTTGCACATTCATCTTGCTTCCGTATTGATCAATCACACTCAAACAATCTTTTTGCAAGTTCAAATGAAAGCTTGCGGAGACTTGCATGATGATGGAGGTAATAATCAGATGACTAACTAATCTGAACAAAGAGTACTAATTCTTAATTGTTTTGGCTGGATTTGGGTCATCTTACGTTAACTAAAATAACATCACCACGATAACTGTCAATGATGATACACCTTTTAGAGTGATGCCATTTCTTAGAAACTATTATAATAAGTGAAACTAACAGAATTGGAACGTTTCTTTATAGAAGAATGGGTATCAGTCTTTGCAAAAAAAGAAAGAAGAGAAAGCACGAGGAGGGGAAAAAATCGGATAAGGTTAAAAAAAAGCAGTATTGGGCTCTCTTTGAATATTGTATTATTCTTTTTCGCTGGCAAGACTGGGTTAAATATCAAAAGAGATAACAAAGAAAATAGCAAAATCAAATAGAATCAAAGACCATGTCTAAGGAAGGTGTCTGGACCTTATGATGATTATGTCATAGTACTATTCCATCCTGATATTTTGTTCAACACTGACTCGAATGATCTTCCTTTATTGGTTATCATTCGAGAAGATAAATACAAGAATGATTTGAACTTTTCTTTTTTTTTAACTGATGATTAAGCCAACTCGAATTGCTCTAACACCAAAATATAAATGACGTCTGGGTAAACAGTGTATGTTTTCATAAGATATTCGCTCTAAGCGAAACTTTCTTGGTACTTAACACAATAGCTGAGCGAAACGCCACTAATAAAACAAAATAACCCATGAAGCCCGAATATGAATACGACAGACCCAGTGAATGTTTTTCAATGGCGCGTGCGAACTTTGAAAGCAAAACTCATATTTGTCAGACGACAAATAGGTATCGATATTTAATGAAATGTCCCGTCAGTTGCATAAATTCCAATTTCGATTGAACCTTTCTCAGCTTGAGAACATCAATTCCCATATTGGCTGATCTAATCGATAGCATGTCCATCGGTTACGTTATAAAAGTTTCGCAATCTTACATTTTATTTGAGATTATATTCTTCTATGCAGGCTTACCCGACACGAGCCCACACTTAATTAATTAATGCCTTCTTCCTAGTGTTAATGTACTCTTCAAAACAATTCATGTCACTTTGTATTTCTTATATTATTCGAGTAATTTTATATACAAACGAGAAGGGGAAAAAAATGTTACTTTGAATTAATCATAAATGAATTATAATTTCTAGCATGAAAGTACATCGTCCGCATCACTGGTAAGTTGAATATAGAAAAAAGGAACTTTTCAAATGATATATGATCTAAACACCTTTTAAGTTTAGGACTACAAATGACTAATGTAGTAGAGTGGGTAGAATTGTTGAAAAATATAGATGGAGGTTCCAAGGTAAGGGGGATACAAGACAAAAAATTAAGACGTAATATGATAAGAACAATTTGAGCCTCTCAAAACATTCTCCGTTCAAGATACAACATGAAACGTATATCATCGATTATCGAATGCAATTTTTATATTTAGGCTTGAACTAAGTGTAAAATATGAGTTTCAAATATGTTTTATTTGTTAACAAGTGTACAAAGTCGGGCGACTTCAAGATATTGACACGAAACAGCTTTTTAATCATTTCAATAATGAAAATAGTTTCACTTCTTGAAATAATGAATGTATATAAATTACATGAATATAAATTATAACCTTGTCAAAAAAAATGGAGCGAAAGAGGTTACAGTGTGACATTGCCTATTCCTACAGCAGAAATTGCAAAAAGATAATGATCACGTTGCCATTCTCAGACACACTGACAAAGATTGCAAAAGCTTTCAAGGAATTAAAAAGACGCTTTTAATGGCCTTGTCAATCATTCAGGTGTCGATTTTGCACACATTTCTATGATGGCTACGCAATCCAAACATAATTTTTATGGGACGTAAATGTACAACTAAACGGGGATTAAAATGGCGCTTTAATTGACTTTTTCGAACGTCTATGCGATCGTGTGTTTTGTATCATATTTCAGAAGAGAATTCAATCCATTAAACTCACCTGACTTATTCATATTAACCGCAAAGCACTTCTTGAGCCTGCAGTACGGACACCAGTTTCTCCTTGCCTTGTCCACTAGGCAGTTGCCTTTGCCAATGCACGTGTAGCGCATATTCCTCCTGATGCTTCGCTTGAAGAAGCAGCTACAGCCGTCGCAGCAGTAGACGCCGTAGTGCTTGCCGTAGCTTTTGTCGCCGCACACCTTACACGGCACAGGGTTGGGTAACGTCCGACCTGCATGCATGGGGGATATGAATGTTCAAAGATGAAGGAGAAAGATCTTAGCAATCGTGGCAAAATGATTTGTGAATACACGATGAATACTTTCTTTACTGTATTTTTATTGAAAGATTTGATTAGAGTAATGCTTGACAAGAAGGAAAACGGAATATATTTCAAACGTATGATATAGTTGATTCGAGTGAAGTGAAAAGACGAAAAAGAGATATGATTCAAACATAATATTTCTAAGATTTGATGAGTAAAGTAAGAAAATACGAACAAAAAATTCTGATTTGTATATGATATGAGTGCACTAATATGTAAAACAAAAAGGAAACACATATTTTATGTATGATATGCCTATGAGCAATGATATTGAATTTGATTGAAAAGACAAAAAAGAAGACGCAATGTTTCAAAGTATGAATGTTAAGGAATGGGTAAAGTGAACAGTCGAATAAGAATACGTTTCAAAAGGGGCAAATATGTTTTGCAGTTTTTGAGTGATAAACAGATGAAAAAGACAAAAGTTTCAAACGTAGAATTTGTATGATTTCAGAAAATGAAAATACGAAGAAGGAAACGTTTCAAACGAATATCTGCCATAGGACAGAGAAGAAAATCTATTTGTAAGTGCGACATAATGTTTTTAGTGGAAAGTTGGTGAAAAAAATAGGAAAAAGAAATTTTCTAGAGCGTAATTTGTATCAATTGAGCTAAGTTGATTTAAAAAGATGAAGACCATTTCATAAGGATTATGATTAGAGTGATCTGAGTTAGGTCATCTATCAAAAGATGAATATAGTTATTTTTATAAATAATGTTGTGAAAAAGTTAGCTTTAAAAATTCAAATTCTTTCTCTGTATTTAAGTAACTTTTTTTAACTTTGTTATTCGATTGAATCCAATTCAAGTATGAATGGCAGTATACATATCACATGGTCCCTTAAACACAGTTAGCAGGGTTCGAATTCAAAAGTTACATAAAGTTTGGCAAGAGCTTCGTCACAAAAAACAACTTATTTCTACACAGCTCAAACATTCACATTTCCAAAACTTTATTATGTAATAGGAAATATCCCTTCATGTAAAATAGGCAACAAACTCAATGCACAAACATTCATGAAGCAAAACTCTTCTTTTTATTCACAAATGGATTTCACCCAGTAGCGTAAGATTTCTCAAAAATTATAAGAGCATCACTGATACCATAGAATAAAAAACTGTTCTTATATTTTAACGCCAAACAACCTCGAGATTAACAAATTACGATCTCACCACGAAACCATACTAATTCACATGTAGAATATGAAGCCCTTTGAAAAATATTAGTTTGAAATGAGCTGTAACCTATTTAAATGTATCATGTAAGAGCGAAAATGCAGCTTTACAAAAGAACATATTTTGTATGAATTCAATAAAATAATGTCAGCATGTAAAGATTGATTTCTGCTACAAATTCAAGTCTTCTTATTTGTATTAAGCATACCTACAAGAATTTTATAAAAATCTAACACTGTTTAATAAGGATGACACAATCTTAACATTCTGTTAGATTTAAGCAAGATATATTTCTAAAAGTTACTTTTACTCAATGTTGACAGTTTTCCTGGAATTGTTTTTTCTGTCCTAATACTGCTACTTAAGTGATTAACTTCTATTTTACCATTTTATGCTTTCTAATGAGATGCTTGATTTGTGCTCTGTAGAAGTAAGTAAAATAAGTTAAGAAACAATCAGAACATTGTGAAACCATTTACTGCAAACTAAGATCATTTTATTTATTGTTTACAGTTTTCCTGGAATAATTTTTCTTCTTCCTGTACTGCTACTTTTAATCAATGCAATTAACTTCTATTCGACTTTTTATGCTGTCTAATGAAATCACTTTGTTCACGTTATATTGTAAAACAGCATCTGAGGAACTAACACTTCAACGAGCTCTGCTCCCAGTTAGTTCCTCTTTTCTCTATTATATTTGTCGTTCGATTGCATATTTGTTTGTAATATACTTATTCATTGTATTATGTTTTTGCATGAGAAATAAAATCATTTGAATTTATTAATTTGTCCTCTCTAGATAATAATCAGGACTCTTCGTTATTTCTTCTTTTAATCAAATAATTTTCGTTCGTCTTTCCAAAACATTAAAACTTGGTAATCTCTTTCATATTTAGACTTTCGATCTTCAAACCATTTATATTTTCTAAGTTTGGAACAATTTAAAGAATCGTAAAGATATGTTTAAAAGTTAAATAACTGTCATCCTACTTCAGAGGATAAGAGAAATGGAACAAAATAAAATGTAATAAATAACTAAAACAAATACTTACCCATAGTGCTGTTAAGAAAATAAATCCTGTATTAATGATGCTATCAAAATATGTTTCGGTAAAAATCCAGCTCGGAACAGCAAAGATACTCTTAAAGTTAGATGCGAACTGGCATTCCAGTGAAACTCGTATTACGTCCAGCGAAGTAGTAATTCCTTAAAAGTTCTTTTCTTTTAAAGTTGTCCGAAGATGATATACTCAGATATTTTGAAGTCGCAGCATCGAATGGTTTGTCAAAGGGAGTGAAAACTCTGAAGTGAGCGAACTGAGGTGTTCGCAGACGATCAAAATTTATACGCTCCGCTTAGTTGAAAAGTTGCCGCGCGTGTGATGATGTCGTCCTTCGTCGTCACTCCGTGGCGTCCTGCACTGCAAGTCAGGGAGATCTAAATGACTCTCGCCCACTTTCTAGTTTGCTAATCCCTAAACCACGAGAAGACTTACGAAGATTAACGGGGTAGGGAGGAAGCTTGATGCTCGGCCGCTACTTTTTCTTCTCTCTCTCTCCCTCTGTCTCTCTCTCTCTCTCTTTTTTCTCTCTCTCTGTCTCCGTCTTTCGATTTCCCCTCTTCCTCTCTCTCTTGTTCAGATTTCGGTATCTGGAGCACCGAGTTTACAGCCCTGCATTGCATCGGAAGGCGTCTTACCAGTTCGTTTTTATTCAAAGGCGTGAAGGTGCGAAGTGAGTGCGTGTGTGTGTGTGTGTGTGTGTGCGAGAGAGAGAGAGAGACAGAGAGAGAGACAGAGAGAGAGAGAGAGAGAGAGACAGAGAGAGAGAGAGGGAGAGGGGATAAGGAGAGAAGTGATTTGTTGAAGCTGTTTTCGTCAATGGATGAAAGTTTTCATACTGTGGGGCGGTCTGAATTATGCGGATCTCGTTTTTGTTGGCACACCCTCCGGATAATAAGGAATTCAAAAGGCTTGTCAAGCCCCCTCTCGCTCCCTCACTCTATCTTCTATTCTCTTCCCTTTCTCTTATTTCTGTTGTAGATGTTTTATCTCTCTCTCTCTCTCTCTCTCTCTCTCTCTCTCTCTCTCTCTTTATCTCCGTCTTAAACCTCACCTTTTCTCTTTTATTCTTTCCCATTATCTTTACCCTCTCCATTTCATATCTCTCTTTTTCTCGGTCCCCCGCTCTCTATTTCTTTCTCTCTTTCTCTATCATTTATATTCTTTCCCTCTCTCTCTCTCTTTCTATCTGTCTCTCCCTATACTGTTTATATTTTTCTTCGCACTCTCCAATCTTTCTCTAGTTATTCTTATGACCTCTCTCTCTACATCACTCTCCTTTCTGTTCCACAGGGTTATCGTGAAGTTATTTTTTATCATCTTAATGAATGACAACTATCATAATTTCTTCTGTGACTGACCTTTGAAAGTAAATGAAAAATAGTTTTTTCCAAATACGATTTTAGGTCAAATTTGAAAAACTGAATCGCGGTTTTGCCATCAATTTGACTAGTTTGAGATTTAAAAACAATTACAGGCCATATCATCATCGATTAAGAATGTCTTTTCTACATTTCTATCTTTTCAAATGACTCATATGATTTATTTATTTTTAGTATAAAGGAGAAAAAGAGAAGGACCATCGAAAATTTAAACAAATACACCACGAGTACGTCGCACGGATTAAAAATTCGACAAAGGGCATGCGGCTTAGTCAGACACTCGAAAAAAGACAAACATCAAGTAATTATTCCATTGTGTGCCCAGTGATATAACCAGTTAATCAATTCCAATGAATTATGATTTCCAAAAGGGGGATGCGCGATGGATGGAACGGCCCAAGTGGTATGACGGCGACGCACGGCTTCTCGCTCTCTGATCTATCGTACCAAGCATCTCACCCTTCAGATCGCTAATTCTGTTTAATCAGTTGCTCAATCGATAAGCACTATTCGCCATAAAAAACTGCAAGAATGGTACAGGCAGAAAAAAAAGAAATGAAAGTATTCGTGAGAGAGAGAACGAGAGAGAGAGAGGGGAGAGGAAAAAATGAAAAGAGGAGAGGTAGATCTATAAAGCTTCTCCAATCGTTTTAAACCTTCAGGGAGGTAGTGCGAATAATAGCGCATCCATCATCATAGCAGTAATACACGACGTTTATTTAATGTCGATCTCTCTGCTGTATTGTTCGCGCTCGTGTAGCGATGGTAATTTGTCAAACTCCACCGGGATGAAAGATTCATCTTTTGATGCGATCCTCAAACCTCTCCCCTCTCTCTCTCTCTCTCTCTCTCTCTCTCTCTCTCTCTCTCTCTTCCTCTCTCATTCTACCGTGAGTCAAGATGAAGTGATGTATCGGAGATTGCTAAGTCATCAACAAGTCAGACGCTGTATGGACGAGAATCTGTCACCTCTTGATTTTGTTTCTCTCTCTCTCTCTCTCACTCTATTTCTCTCTCTCACTCTATATTTATCTCTTTTCCATTGATCAGTCATTTTTCCTTTCTTTGCTATCTTCATGGAAAGATTCCGATAACATGCCATAAGACGTTTACATATTCATACTTTTGTTGTTGTAATTCTCTCCATTTTTCTCCTGTAGTCAATCTTATTATATATTTTGTATAGTTCATGTTATTACAAATTAAGATAAATCGCTATCTCTTTTCTTTAAAGTTCGTTTGAATGTCCTTGTCTTGTTTTACTTTTCTCTTTCCTTGTGCTTTTTCTCTTACCCGCTCTTTATTGGGTTTCCTTGTTTTTTGTATTGTTTTTATTTTGTCATCTATTTTTACTGTTTATGATGTATATCTCAGGTAAAGCAATTTTTAATTTTTTTTTCTCAAAAATGTTCTTACCAGAAATGAGGTTATAAGAAGGTGATATGAGTATTTCTGTCAAATAAAGGAAGTGTTATAATCAAATGTTGGCTTATTAGTAATGATGCGATTTTTTTGGGGTGGCATTTTAAATATTCCTCAGAGATGAGAATAGAAGAAAACTTGACACATCATATACAGCAAATTATGTAATCATAAACATTACCCATGTATAAATGATATCAGTGGAATTAAAACCTATATCCATCTGACCATGTTCACAATGAACATTCTTATTTTCCTTTCCCCCCTCTCCACCTTTATAAATCGAGTTGCAGCCTTGCAGCTTATGTGCGTGGCGCCAAATGTGTCGGTTGTCATGTGATCTAGTAAACCGTCCAATCGCAAAGCGATGTTGCATTTTTCTGTACAAAAGATATTGCTACACACTTCCCTGTTCGAATTGATTGAAGCTACTTTTAAACAAAACGATCATGTCCTTTGCTTTAGCTTCATAGTTTTTCGAATTATTTGCTTAAATTTCAATTCATTTTGCGTCAATTCAATAAGGAAAAATATATATATTATTTTCACCTTGACGAGATCTCAACCTTCTCTTATGTTGGCGTGTGTGTGTGCGTGTCTATAATGTGTATGAAAAAAGAAGTCTCGATTCAGCACCTCTCCATGACAATCGGCTTATTATGCCTCAATCAATGGCTATTATATTTGTCGGTTTGGAATCGGTTTGGCGGAGTGACTGACGTATAAATTTATCAATGCACGTTTCGATTTATTACTATCATCAACATCAATATTATTACTATTATTATTATTATTATTATTATTATTATTATTATTATTATTATTAAATTTATAATCATAATCATTGTAATTATTAATGTGGTTATTATCGTCGTTATAATAATTATCATTATTATTATTAGAAGTAGCAGTAGTAGTAGTAATAGTAGTATTTATTTTTTTCATTTTTTATTAATTTATTATTTGTTTCCATTAACTGTAGATGTCGTTGTTGACGAAGATGACAAACTTGTGAAATAACTAGGTCCATGGATAAACATTACGTTCATGACGTTTTCCCATCATTTTATCCTAATATATGATTAATGGAGGTCACGAATCTCTCTCTACGTATTTTTATGACAATGGCTTCAGTTGACGCTGTTAAAAGATGTTGGCGACCGTACATTTTGTTCTGACGAAATTGCTCCGGCTTAATTGGTCTAACGGCTTCTCTTCGCCGACGTTGCCCTCCCAACTTTTCCCTGGCAACTTTACTCTGGCAAATTTACAATGGCAACTTTACAATGGCAACTTTACTCTGGCAACTTTACTCTGGCAACTTTAGAATGGCAACTTTACTCTGCCAACTTTACTCTGCCAACTTCACTCTGGCAACTTTACAATGGCAACTTTAGAATGGCAACTTTACTCTGGCAACTTTACTCTGCCAACTTTACTCTGCCAACTTCACTCTGGCAACTTTACTCTGCCAACTTTACTCTGGCAACTTTTCCCTGCAAACTTTTCCCTGCAAACTTTTCCCTGGCAACTTTACTCTGCCAACTTTGCTTTAGGCTCTATTTCGTCAATGATGTATAGGGATATTTTTAGTGGGATAAGCTTTTTGTCAAATACTTCGATATATTTTTCACACAGTGATAAATTAATTGAAAATGTTTTTTTCACTTTCACCAAACCAGGCATTCTCTTTAAAGGTACTATGTCCCTTTTGCAGCCAACCTCAAATTCTGTAGAACTTTGCAGGAATTATGAATATGTCATGTATGTCCTATCTGTGAAATTTAAACGTTAGCAGTGTCCTCATATTCAAATTATGCAAGGAAACCCGTTTACTTGCTAGACTTCACTGTCAGACACTATTGAGTGACCGACTGGCTTTCTTTCTTCTTTGGTAATAACATTTGCCTACATCAATAACCCACTTCTTGTAATGCCCAAATTAAACTGATTGAATCTTTGCGCAGCATATGGAAACGTTGTATCATCCGCTCAATCTGACTTGCGTGCATAGAACAAATAAGCATTTTTCCATGAAAAAGTGAAGTTTTTAAAAATGTGCTAAAAAAAAAACACTACTGAGTGACTGACTGGCTTTTTTTCTTCTTTGGTAATAACATACATGAAAAGAGTTGTAAAGGGCACATGAGCATTTGTCTACATCAATAACCCACTTCTTGTGATGGCCAAGATTAAACTGATTGAATCTTTGCGCAGCATAAAACGTATGACCATTCGGTACAATGGTCTGAAAATCAAGACTATTACTTTTGGGCTCTATAGCCCTAAAATCGATTTGACAACTAATAGTCATTATTTTCCCACTTGAAGACATTTTCAAACCCCACCTTTTTTAGGAAAGTTCTAAAATAGTATTATCTTTCAAATGCAGTTGGAATTTAACGTTTTCATTGTTTTGGCCTGCAAATGGAACATAGTACCTTTAACACCTAAACCAGGACAAACAATCAGGTGCTGTCGGAAAAAGAAAATAAAGTAG